AACTTCTCGGGGTCGTTGTTGCTGTCAATGTAGATCTTGGCAAGGGCGTTATAAACAGCTTGCTGCTGGTTGCCCGTTGCAAGAGTGGCCTCGAGGAAAGGCAGCAGCAGCTTGAGGCGGTTGCGGCTTTCAACCTCGGAGACAAGCTCGTCGATGGGAATGACGGAGGGGTCAACGGTGGAGAGCAGGTTCTTGATGATGCTCTCATCACAATCAACATCGAGCAATCCACCGACGACAGCAGGGGCACGAGCAGGGTTGACGCGCTGGACATAAACCTCGATGGACTTGAACTGCTGGCTCTGGTAGAGGTACAGGACAAGGTCGTGAATGAAGTTGAAGCGGTCGCAAACGATGATCAAAGGAAGTTGCTCAGTCAGGCGGGCCTCCTTGAGGAAGTTCTTCACCTTTTCGGGGTTGTAGTAGTTGCTCTCCCGGCAAATCCGCTCGACCTCGGTGACTTGGTTCATGGCAGTGGCGGCCTCAATGTACTTGAAGTGCACTTCGGGGTCCTCGCTCAGATTGACAATGCTTCCCAGGTAGTAGTAAAGACCCTCGGCAGTGCGGTACTTCTCCAGGAGATCAATGAGGCGATTAGATCCGAGGAGATCAGAGAACTTAGTAGCGGTCTGGACTACGGACTGCAGGTTCTGGCGGATATTCGACTCCAGCATGGTATCCAAGCAGTCCAGGGTTTGCTCCACAGACAGACGGCCGAAGTAGGCCATCAACCACTCTGGGCTCAATTTATCGGTGCGAACGATGTTACGCTTGATGACAGAGGGATCATCGGAGTTCTCTAGGGCACGCTGGATGAGACCAGCGTTCTCGCAAAGCTGGGCGATACGAGGACGGTCGAAGTGGGTGAAGATCTCATTGCCGAGGATGGCATCTGCCACCTGCGGGGCGTTAATTAGGTTCATCTCCAAAAGACGAGTCTGCAGATGGCCATGCTCTGGCTTGTTGTCCTTGAGAGCATCCAAGAGGAATGAGGTAGCCTGCTGGATCATGTTCTGAGATAGAAACACGTCGACGACTCGGTCAAGGTCGACCAATGCGCCGCTCTCCTCGTTGGCTAGCTGGGTGGCGAACTCGGCGCCCTTCTCGGGGTTGACCCTCACAATGTGCTGAAGCAACTGAGTGTAGTCCGGCTGATATCCAACCTGCTTGGAATAGGCGAGGATTTTGTCGAACTGACCGGTCTCGGCAAACCCAGCCACAACCTTGTTTGGAACGTTGGCCTGGAGGTAAACACTCAGAGCAAGCGCCATGTCGTAAGGGCGGATGATGTCACCCAGCTCTTCTGAGCCCTCGAGTTTCTTCTCAGACATCCATTTCTCGAGCAGGTGCTTGCGGTTCTGCTGCAGAACGGGCCGAACAAGCTCCACACTCTCGTACCTATTGAGCGAGCCCTTATCCAGAAGCATGCCAAAGTACTGCAGGATGACTGACATCTGACCGGTCTGAGGGGCATTCTTGAAGCGGTTGATGGTATCCAGGGTACGGAGGAAGCCGCGGGGGGAGTTCGCAGCGATCTTAGCAGCTTCTGTGTAGTCTTGGGCGGCCATGAGAGTATCGAATTGCTGCTGGTACAAGTGGTCCGCACCTGGAAGGCCGGCCTTCGAGGCGAGTTTGACCGCAAGACCGGACATGGCGGGGTTTTCCATGAGGTACTGAACAATGTTCGATTCGTCCACGCTCACAGATAGGACCTGACCCTTGCGGTTCACACCGACAAGACCTGCACCCTCACCATCCGCAGCCGTGGTGAAGATTGTCTCGCTGGAAATGCGGTTCATGAAAATGCAGGTACCAGTCTCGAGATCATAAAGGTGGATAAAGCCGTATTTCGTCACCAGGTACACCACATCATACTTGCTCGACACCTGCATCGCGACGGGGAAATCGTTGACTGCCTCTTGCGGGAAGTACACCTCCACGGCCTTCTTTTGGAATCGTGGGTTGGGCTCCTGGTGGTCGATCTCGGCGATCTGGAGCTTTGCGCCCGTCTGGGTGCGCACGGCAAATGTGAAGAGGCTGTGTGGTAGAGGCGAACCCTCAACAGTGATGTTGGCAAAGGAGGCGGCATGACCTTCGATAAATTGGGAAATCCCGCGCTCCTTTGAGAAGAGCTGCATGGATCCGACTACTCGGCCCTGCTGCTGGCTGATACCAACCACGACCATCCACTTTTCCTCGGCGTTGACACGGTAGTTGATAATTTGACATCCCTGTAGCAAGTCCACGGATTAGCATACTTCCAAGTTAAACCGTTGCTCCTTGAGTTGTCACATACAGCAAGATTGGGGAGTCGATCAAACATCTTCACGGGGTTCTGTTGCGTCGCGTCGTAGACATCCCAGTGGTAAACAGCTGAGTCGGTGACCAGACCCAACGAGGTTTCACTGAACCATTTCCAGTAGACAATATCTTCATTCATCACGGCAGACTTGAGCTTTTGCTTCGCGCCGAGGTCGAAGATCTGGACGGTACGGCCCTGGGCCTTCAGGGCAATAATGTTCTTGCTCCAGTGCATGATGGCACTGTCGGCATTGATGGGGCGCCGTAGGACCTCATTGTTGTTCTTTAGGTCGATAATGATAACTTGCGGCTTGTCGTCTTCGTCGAGTTTCTGGCGGACGCAGACATAGTGATCGGATTCTAGTGTCTGGAAGAGGGCGGTCAGGTTAGCCGGTTTGGGTCCTCGCTGGTTTGAGGGGTAGTCGCAAGGCAACCATCAACAACTTACACATGAGGTGAAGCCAATTGAGGCCGGCTATGCGTCTGAGTGTTAGTAACTTTTGTGGTATATCCAGGATGTTTCGATGCGCGGCCGGTGCATCCGTCCCGGGGGCCGGAGCTAGTCGCGAGACATCGGGCATCGTTGCACATACCGCAATACCGACAGAGGTCAACTATAAAGATCAAATACCAGTCAGCTTCCGGACCCTCCATTCTGACCATCTTCGGGAGGGGAGCACGTACATTGACCAACTCTGTAAACTTGATGGGGAGAGGAGCCATATTTGCGGTGGTCGCAGTACGACCTGGTTCACTGGATGAGACGCCACGCAAAGAAAGCAGCAGAATTGAAGGGTGACAAGGGGAGGTGAATCGCGAATGAGAACGAGAGACAGGAGAGAAAGAAGAGGAAGTGCGGATTGAGGAGGGGGAGTAGATCTGGGGGAGATGCGGAAGTGACCTTCAGGAGGCTGTTGACGTTGCTGAGGTGTCGCTTATGGGTGATCACGTGACACAGGGGTCGAGCTGGGAGGTTAGAGTACACCGTACGGAGTAGAGATGACTTTGAAGTGAGAAAGATTCCGTTCTCGGCAGTGTGCTGGGTATCTAGTGAGGTGGCAAGGGAGTCCAGAAGTTGGGCTGGTCGCTGAGCTACTCGTGAAACCTTGGAAGGCAACTTGGATACCCAAGCTACGGAGTACATACAGTATCTACGTTGTTTACCCAACCTCCGCTACACCTCAGGCACGTACTCTGTACCTACCTAGGTAGGTACACCGTACTTCATTTGGTGCTTATAGGTCCAATCCTTGTTCTTCGACCTCCAGCTCGACCCAATGCAAGCAAAGGCAACGTGCAGCTGCGAGGCAATCGGCCCCTTTAACGCGATCCACTCCGGACGTCATCCGAGTATCCACCGTTGACACTCACCAGTTGGTGAATCTACTTGTTGCCTTGGTCTGACTGTTTTCCTTCAATCTGAATGTAATAGCTAGGCCTTCGGGGGTAGAGTCTTGACACACTATGTCGCCCAACATTGGAAGTGGGCATGTATCGTTGCCATTGAGAGATATATATACACTTATGCTATACATGGTGGACATGATGGACCGGCGAACACTCACCTGGGCACCTTATATTTATGACCAGACCTCGGAACTCGTCAGTCCACATTGAAATCCTATCTGGCCTCGATAATTCTCCATCGATAAATGTGATTCTTCCAGCAGTATGTCCAGAACGGTAGAGATCATAGTAAAGAATCCCCACGTCTGTCCAACGAAAAAGACATTCTCTCGGATGTGAGAACCTTGGCCGGAAGAACAGACCTGCATGAAAGGGGTGTAATTGTGGTACCTATGCACCCCAGGAGGAATCTCGACCTGCTGCATTGAACGAGGTCCGAGAGACAATAGTCCAGTATCATCGTAGGCCTTTGCAGGGTACGTGCTCGCCACATTGCTCTTTGGACCCTTGTTCTTTGACACAATTTGACTTCCCTGAATTTATCGAAACTTTATGGGCTTTGATGATGACATGGTAGATACGCCGTGCTATGGCTTATCACGAGACAAAGACGAAAGACCCCTGCAATGCCCTCCAGTGGCTCGCAGAGGTCAATCGAGCCGACTGCCAACAGCCCGCTAGAGCCGTCGAGGAAGTCTCGCCGCGCTGCGCTCCCAACATTCTCCGAGCCGGAGACACCAAGACGTGTATCGGCCCATACTGGACTTTGGAGATTCGGCGCAAGGGAGCAATGACCATGCGCCCAGCGCCATTCGGCATGGTGCTTGTCTTTGTCGGCTGGACCAAGCCCGGAAGGATCGCTCTCGGCATGGCCGTACCACCCGCCAAGCCAGCCTTAAAGCGCGAGAGGCGGGATGTCGGTCGTATGGCAGCCCCGGATTGGAGGGCACGGGGCCATGCACGCCTTGGCAGCTGCTTGGCCAGTCAGCGCAGAGGTATAACCCCCGCGTCGAGAATCGGAGCATGGGGGAGCAGCGGCATTTATTGAAATCCCCACGAGAAAAAATGCGGGTGTTTGCGGGGTGAGGCTGGATCGTCCCATATAAAATCCGGGGTAACGACAGGAAAGCCGGGGAGACACTGAACAACCCGATCTTGACCAACGTGGGTGCTCGATTCTTCCTGGATCACGCTTGTTGGGAGCGTTTGTTGATCTTTGCCAGTTTGCCTCTCTTCCTCTGCTCTCTGCGAATTCCTCTGGTGCAGAAATTCGTCCAAAGACACTCGTCATAATGGCCTCCAACGAGCCAGCAGACCCCATTCCCCAGGGAATGTTTGCCACTGCTCGTCAGTCCTTCGCAGACCTCTTCATCTGGAAGCAGCGTGTCGAGGTGACCAATGAACACGGTGAATCGCGAACAGAATGGCAAGCCCCAGAGTCGATCAAAAACCCCATCAGCCTGATGGCTCAGCTCTCAGCGCGCGACTGGCTATTCTTCCTGGTTGGGCTCACGGCATGGACTGCCGATGCCTTCGACTTCCATGCCTTGTCGATTCAAACGGTGAAGTTAGCAGATTATTACGGCAGGTCAAAAACCGATATCTCGACGGCGATTACCTTGACCCTGCTGCTGAGAAGCGTGGGAGCCGCGTGCTTTGGACTCGCGGGTGATAAATACGGCCGTAAATGGCCAATGGTGCTTAATATGATCATTCTGGGAGTCTTACAGATTGCTACAATCTACAGCAAAACCTTCCAGCAATTCTTGGCTGTACGCAGTCTCTTTGGTCTTTTCATGGGTGGGGTGTATGGCAATGCCATTGCCATGGCATTGGAACATTGCCCGTGAGTGCTCACCGTAGGGGTCCAATGGATGTTACTAACAGAGTCAACACCAGAGTCAACGCCAGAGGGCTGATGTCCGGAATCCTCCAGCAAGGCTACTCGCTAGGCTATGTGTTCGCGGCCTGTGCCAATCTCGGTGTCGGAGGAGGAACGGACACTTGGAAGACTGTCTTCTGGATTGCCGGTGTGTTGAATACTCATGTCCATATGATCTGATTTCCCTAATTCTTTCTTCATTCCAGCTGGAATCTCAATCGCAGTCGGTCTCGTTCGAATTTGCTTCCCCGAATCCAAGGCGTTCATCGAGGCTAAGAAAGCCGGTAAACGAAGCCTTACCGCAGGCGAGTTCTGGCGGGAGACAATAGCCATGCTAGGCAAGGAGTGGCGCATGTGCATCTACTGTATTATTCTGATGACCTGGGTATGTTTAACCTTGATGCCTCCCAAGGTTCATCACATTGACTGCTGGCAGTTCAACTTCTATTCCCACACCTCCCAAGACTCCTACACCACGTTCATGCTCACCTCCAAAGAGCTCGAAAACACCGGTGCCTCGAGAGCCTCGATTTTGATGAAGACTGGGGCCTGTGTTGGAGGTACTATCATCGGATACCTGTCACAGTTTGTTGGCCGTCGAAGGGCGATCATTGTCGCCGCCTTCGTGTCGGGAGTGCTCATTCCTGCATGGATTCTTCCCCAGGGCGAGCGAGCGCTGAGTGCGACTGGGTTCTTCATGCAATTCTTCGTCCAGGGCGCATGGGGTGTGATTCCAATCCATTTGAACGAGCTATCCCCTCCGGCATTCCGATCTTCCTTCCCTGGTCTCACATATCAGCTCGGAAACATGATCTCCTCTCCGTCAGCACAGATTGTGAACGCCGTGTCCGAGTCCATCTCGGTGACCAGTGCATCCGGTCACAGGGTGAACGCTTACGGGCCAGTCATGGGAGTGGCCACGGCCATCATCGCCGTTGGGATCATGGTCACCACTGCCATTGGCCCCGAGAAGCGTGGTCGCCGGTTCGAGAGCGTGGTCGCCGGAGTCGATGAGGCTGCTAACGCCAAAGCCATAGACTTGGAAAATGCTGGCCAGGAGCCTGGTAAGTCAAAGGATGAGATGATTGAGCTGGCCGATCAGAAGAAGTAGGTTGCCCTTGTGGTCTTCTTAGATGCTGCGAAACCTCATCAATAGCCAGCAATCTCAGTTGAAGCCACGCATCAATTTTGAATATGGACCTAACGAGGCGGGGTGTCTTTGTATTGGGACTGGAAGACTCAGTCGATATTGTAAAGCCCTAGACCGGATGTGTGCTCTGGGAATAGCTTCACGTTCCACGTCAATGGGAAATGAAATACTCTGCGGAGTTGATGACTGCCCAGATGTGACTGAGAGGTCCTCCGCGCCAATTTTCTTGTCATACTACCTGTTCCGTGTGAAGCCATCCCGGAAACGGGAGAATTGACAACTAGAATCATAGAATTGAGTTTCATGTCTATACGCCGTGAGGGCCAGGACAGCTATCAGTGCTCGACATTACCTACCTACCTACCTAGGTACCTAGGTAGGTATATATGTAGATAGGTAACTATGTAGGTACTCAGATGTATCCAGTATGCGTTTCTCCCGACGCCAGCGTGAATAGGCGCTCAATATCGCTTGTGGTCACATCTGAAGTTTCAGCGTTGGAGCTCTCGGGACTAACTCTTGTCCAGTTCGTGTAGGGAATCTAGAACAGTCCCTTGCCGTTGAATTTGCGATACTTACCTACATAGGTAGGTAGGCATGTCGATGACATACCTGGGTAGTAAACATGATGGTGGCATCGAAATACCATTATACAGACTACAGACTTACACTGCTACGGCAGGGTGTCCTACGAGGATAGGGAGAAAGACAAGATAGGCCAAAGGTACCCAATGTATCCGAGAGTAATCTCAGAGGGACCGACTCTTTGATGAAGCCGAAGCATTCTCAAGCGAGCCATGGCGAGACACCAGATCGAGATCCAATGCCTGCCATCCTTTTCAACAATGGTTATGCGGAAAACATCACCTCTCGTGAAGCCTCATTGTGAAAAGGGAAAAGCAACTGTTAAATGGTATAATGTGAATTCATGTCTCTCCCACGCCTATCCTGGTTGTCAGAGTACAAAATCAAGACATGCAACGCAGTGAATCAAGGGAACCGCAGGGTGGTGACGGTGTGACCCATGCGCAAATTTTGTTTCCTCCGGGAAGCACGCAAGATAATTTTTTGGGTTCTTGTCGAATAAGTCGTACTTCACAGGCCCCTCCCAACTCTGGACGCTTTAGCCTGTAAGCTGAAAGCGCTTAGCGGATGATACCGTCGAAGCGGGTCTTGAACCACTTCATGGTCTCGGAGGTGGTGATGCGGTGGTTGACACCGATCTTGGCCTGAGCACGGCGGCGGCGGGCAACTCGGGCACCGGGGCGGTCCCTGAGAGGTTGATTAATCTTCTGCCTCCCGGCGGGTTAAGAAAAGACCCAGAGTCACTTACATGCAGACGAAGAAGTCCATTCCGTAGATACCGATACCGGGGTCGTACTTGATACCGAGATCGATGTGCTCGGAGATACCGAAACCGAAGTTACCGGTCTCGGAGAAGTTGCGACGGCGGAGCTCGTACTCCTTGACCTTGAGGCCACGCTCGAGGATCTCCTCGGCCTTGGCGCCACGGACAGTGACGTGGACGGAGATCTTTTCGTTACGACGGATACCGAAAGTACGGACGGTGTAACGGGCCTTGGAGTAGACGGGGGTCTGACCGGAAAGCTGCTCAAGCACCTTGGCGGCACGGGTGAGTCTGTGGAGGTTAGCCCCAAACCTTTGCACTTGGGATTTGACCGTTAATTACCTATCACCAGACTCTCCGACGGAGATGTTGAGGGTCAGCTTGCTGAGACGCAGCGCCCGGTTGGGGTTCTCGGCCTTGGAGGGAGCGGACTACATCAAGTTAGATTTCGCGAATGGAGGTTGGAGCGCTGAGGGTGTCCGCAAGACACGGATGGCGAGGGAGATGCAGATGCAAATGCAGTGGAACAGAATGGCGCAGTGCTGGGAATGAAGCGGAATCTTGAACATACCATGACGGCGGTTGGTGGGCGTGGAGTGGTTGTCGACTGAAGAGACTCAGTTTCTCTCGAAAGGACATTGTGGGTTGCGAAAAATGAGCACACGTGACTGGGAAGCCCTGATCTGCTTATGTCACCCCTTCACCGCCCTTATAAGCGGCTGTGCTTACATACACCATGGGGCCATCCACCTGGGCACCTGGGCATCCATGGATCCATGGATTCATGTTTCCTTGACCAGTAATGTGTCCTCCGCCCTCCGTCGTCTCATATCGGTATTACTCGTCTGACAGCCTACTACCTATGTAGGTATCGGGCTCTTGGAGTGATTTGCAAGTACTATCTACAGTACGGCGTATGTAGGCCAGAGACCCGATCGTGCCTGGTATGATGCTATAAGCCAAAGACCCATCAAATAGTAGTCGAAGTATCAGGATACATACCCTAGGGCATTGTAAATATACCTACGGAGTAGGTAGGTACACACGGAGCACTGTATGGATGGATGTAGTGAAAGTTACGTATTCGAAGACACGATACACCCCGAATACAACCTTGGAATACCGATGCCTGATAAAGTGACTCTTATCTCCCCTTTTCCAACCTGAGAAGTCCAGGCCTTGTTCCTGACATTTCCTTGTTTTGGCTGATTTCTGAACGGTCTCCAGAGGTCGGAGTGGTTTTCTCCTATACAGTACTCCTGTCTACACAACCAGAGCGCACCTCCATTGGAAAATGAGATACCAACTTGCGACACCAACAAGGACCAGGTGCCCACTCTCATCATCGTGCGCCTGTGGTCAGTGAATAGCCATGGCCGTCACACATACCACTGTTATGTCCGATCACAACACGAATCCCATAATCAAGCTCGGTGGGGATATCAACCCCGATTCGCCTCCCGCCGCCGTGTTCGACATTTCACCCGAGACTGCATTACACCTCCTATGCACGAATGTTGAACGCTTAGCCGCGTTGGTTGCGACGCCCGGGGCGGACGAGCTGAATTGCCCCGGCTCCGCTGTGTCAGAGTGCGAGGATTTAAGCCAGGATGGTGCACGGGAGATAGAGACCGTGGGCCTGCATGTCAAGAGCGAGGGCGACGTGGTGGATCCCGCACGGGCGACAGCCGAGGCTATCCAGATGACAATTCTGTCAAAGAAGTTCCTGTCCAAGAAGGTCCCGCCTATCTCGCTGCAGGATTATCTGCTCCGTTTGCACAAGTTCTGTCCCATGTCGACGGCGGTGTATCTCGCGGCGAGTGTCTACATATCAAAAATGACCCTGGTCGAGAATGTCCTCCGGGTGCTGCCCAAAAATATGCATCGGCTCGTTCTGGCGGGTGTCTGGGTCGCGAGCAAGGCGCTAGAAGACCTCAGTTATGCGCATAGCCGGGTGGCGAAAGTCGGGGGTGTCAGTGAGCTCGAGTTGTCGAAGCTGGAGATCAGTTTCTGCTTCCTCGTCGATTTCGAGCTCCGAGTCGATGTTCGCATGCTGATGGATGAAGCGCTGCGTCCCCAGGCTGACATAGCATGACCTTATTTTCTTTCTGATTTTGCTTGAGTCTTAAGGCCAGTTCTTGTCCAATCTGATCTATCTTCCGAGCCCGTTCCAATTTGGTTATCTAAATGAATCACTATGTCCATGAACGCAAGAAGGGTACAGTTTGCCCACTGTCAGGACTGGTTGGTGGAGGTGATTTCCACACTGGGATAGTACCAGGTGCAAACTGCCACGATGAAATAAACCAGCACGCAGAGGGCCCCTTCCAGATAATTCGACTTGCCATCCCGTAAGAAGTTGCCAACCACGAGAATTGAGAGTACCAGGAGAACAACCATGAAGATTTCAAAGTTCAAGCTCATATCCTTGTCCATCCCCCAGCCAACGATCACGGTGAGCGGTGCGATGAACAGGGCCGTCTGGATGGACGGTGCCAGGCAGTGGAAGAGCGCAAAATTGATTTGGTTGTCCCAGGCTTCGTCCACGGCCGTGAGATGCTCGGCTGCCTTCTCAACAAGAGGGACGAGTATCAAACCGAGAAAATTATCCGACACGCCGCGCTCCACGATGAACTCAATCTCTTGTACCAAAAAGACCGCAGACATACAGACGCAGGCGAGGGAGATGGAGATGACGATGATACATTCGGTCATGGTGAGTTTCGCCCGGGCCGCTTCTTCGTGTCGGTCCTCGTCGTGGTGCTCATCAACCTCGAGGATTTCGTCGAAAATCGAATTGTGACTGTGGAGGTTAAACACAAGGTATCTGGGTGCAGTCAGCGGTGCGGTCTCTGGATTATTGGTCGGGCCTACTCACGTCAAAAAGGCCACCAGCAGGAGGATAGCAGTGGCACGACTGATGGTCAGGGCATATTGGCCCAACAATTGCGCCGTGAACTCTTCATTCACACTCCCACGAAGGGCCGAGTAGAATGCACTTGGGATCAGTAGACCAAAGCCGGCGACCAGAAGTAGTCCAGTGCCTACTTCACTCACGGCCTCGTGGAAAACCTGCTCCTCGCGCCTGAGCCCGCCAACAAAGAAACACAGACCCAGGCATAGAAGAAGGTTCGCCATGATGGACCCCAGGATAGCAGCCTGAATGACGGGGATCAGGTTTTTATGATTCGCGGGGTCGTCGTTGTGCAAGAGAACCATGAACAGCACTAGCTCCACCACGGAGCCCAAGGTAGTCTCGACCAATATGCCAAACATTTTCGGTAGTTTCTTCGCTAATTCCCCGCCGGCAAACCCTAGCAGATTGGCCGAGGGCACCATCGCAATGTAGTTGAGAGTGAACACCCAGACGTGAAGGTCGGGTCGGGCAAAGTGCATGGCAATCGCGGCGGGTACAAATGGCCAAAGGATGTTCACGACCATTGAGAGCGTGCAGACACTCCTGAAGCACACTTTGACAAGATGCACCGGGTGTACACCAGACCGCCCGCTCTCTCCCGCTGTGTCCACGCGAAAGAGTCCCCGGCGTCTCTTGGATGTATTCGAATTGGTTGGCAAGATCGAGTTCTGTGAGCGCTTTTGCTGGACCGGCTTGGATGGTTCGCCATTCCCGCGGAGTCGGAGGTCCGCATTTTGTGACTGGCCTGCCCTAACTGAATCCATCGCGGCTTCTCAGTTGCTGGGAAGTTGGAGACTCAGAGAATCAAAGGTGAGGTGCTAGGCCAGACCGTGAGACTAACAAAATAGGGATGGTGTATCTCGAGAGATCCGGGGTCAATAATCAACGATCCACAGGCTTAAGTCCCAAACACCTGCTCAAAAGAAGAAAGATAAAAACCCCAAGATAAAAAAGAGCACTGCTGACGGAGGGAGGGGAGGAAAAAAAAGGGCTGGGAGGCGCAAAGACAAGTATAGAGCTCTAGCCCACACCAAAGAAGGCAAATAAAAACAACCACCCCCGTGGGATGTGCTGGCAGCTGTACGCACCAATCAGACCTCGTGTCCCCGATGCCTAAAACCCATGCATCATGGGGCATTGGTCCTAGGGAGGTCTTGGCGCGCACTCAACCGTCGCATCTGATGTTGATGCAGAGATCGTCGCCCAGCGGATTCCACCCTGTGATGGATTGCACTTCTGATTCATGTGGTCCTTGATTCCTCATGCTCAGCTGGTCTCCCTGGCTTCGAGGATACCATGCCCTGGACCTTCGGTGGGGAATGTCATTTTCAGCTTGCACAGCCCCAGGCTTGGCCCGGCAGACTTGTCGCATCTAAGCGCTTTTCTTTTCCCGGAATGCGCATCAATGGGACTGTCGGGTGGGCATTAGAACTTTATGCACCCAGGGTGAGCTTAGTTTAGCTTGATCGTGATGGATCGGTCCTCGTAGTGCGGTGTTGAAGAAGTTTGCGAGCCAATCAACCCCGAGTGGATAAAGATCGTCTTGAAGTCGGTGAGACCTGCAAATGTGCGGTCTTCCGCACTCCAGTCTAGAGACATCGTGGGAGAAAGAGGACGGGGACATTGATCATTCCCGTCTCGCGTGGGTGGCATGAGTGTATGCAGTACCTAGGTAGTACGGATCATAGGTACAGAGTACTCCAGGGGTACTTGATGCAGGTCGGTCAGCGTGTAGTTATCCAGGTCTTGCTGATGTACTCCATATGGAGGGTGCTGTACTAGCAATGATTCCAGTACAGAGTATCATTAGCTTCCAAGGTTCCATTCAGCATGATACTCATGTACTATTAGACCTGAATCTCATACCTGTCGCTGATCTGTACACAGACACCGAAACGGCGGAGTGTGAAGTACACGGTGTATGGGGCCGGGATTTGCGGGTTATCATACGTTATCAGATCCCCCCAAACTTCCCTTTCTCAACCATGTCCTCTCAAGCAAACTGGCACTCAGTCACTGGCATTGCCACACTGTTGTTCGATGGCAATTTGGTTGCAATTGCGATCGCCATTCTCTTCACCTTCGGCGTGCCAATCACACTCCACATCATATTCTTCCAAGCTGTAGCTTCTCCTCCCTCGAGCAACTTCCTTCTCCTGGGTCCTAGTGGAGCTGGTAAAACAGCTTTCACAACTCTGGTATGACCGACACGGCCTTTATATCCCCGTAACGGGCATCTGACACCCAACAGCTCGAGGCAAAGTCCTCCCCCGCATCGAATAAATCGCACACCACTCACACCTCCCAACAATCCACCCTAGCCACGGTCACCCTCCCACCAACTGTCCCCACCGGCTCAAACCGCTATCGCTCGGATAATGATCCCTCCCTAAAGGAGGCTATCCGAAATCCTATCCGCTATCGGGTCCGCGACACCCCTGGGCATGGCAAGCTTCGGGTCTCACAGGGCCTTGCCGAGCTCCGCACCATGGCTCAGTCCAAGGACATTAAGACCCGACTGCGCGGGGTGCTTTTCATGGTCGATACCGCTGCTCTAGTGGATGAAACTACCCTCCGTGATACTGCCACCTATCTGCATGATGTACTGCTTGTACTTCAGAAACGCGCCAAGAACGGCTCCTCCAGCAAGCGGACCACCGAGATCCCTGTCTTGGTAGCTGCGAATAAACAGGATCTCTTCACGGCGTTGCCGCCAGGTGCTGTGAAGGAGAAATTGGAAGCGGAAATCGATCGCATCCGCCAGTCGAAGAACAAGGGTCTGTTGGATGCAGCTGATACCGGCGTGGAAGACGATGAGGAGATTCTGGCAAATGATGAACAGGAGACGTTCACTTTTAAGCTTCTGGAGTTTGAGACCGGTATTAAGGTTGAGGTTGTCGGTGGTGCCGTGAAGGGCGACCAGGAAGAGGAATTTGGATCGGGAGTCCGCCGCTGGGAGGAGTGGGTGGGTATGTGCCTGTAAGTGGACTTGGATTTCGAGGTATACATAGTAACTCTTTGCCTGTACATGCTTCTAAAACTTGGCATTATAATGGATTGCATTCTCAACTCTACCTACCTACTGTCTTAGTCTTGCCAGCCCAGTCCCAATGTCTCTGTAGCCCGAGCATCGATCCACTCCTGTTTCGTGAGCGAAAGCACCCAAGAGGAGAGAACATCCTCACCCATATCCAGATCGAGATGCTAGCATGTATGGTGAAGAGGCGAGCTGACGACCACGATGCGTACGTTGCTGCTGGCAATCAGCACGGCGTTCTTCATCGGCGGAAGAAGAAGGGTGGTCAGAACATGATGCCCAATCCAGTTTGTTGCGGATACACGCTCTTTGTTCTAGGCGTTAGACCCAAGCCGAATGCTTGGGCTAAGGGCTCTCGCCTTTCTCGGTACCTGCATGGCCACCCTGTGCACGCTACGTTGGACAGCTGGGCTATGCATGGAGTTTGCTCACCGTTACCACTGCCATTCGACCAGGTACAGATGGTACATTGACCAAAAAAGAATGTTCGCTCTGTCAATATCCTTGCCATGGTGGTGGGTTGAAGTATTTTACGGAGACGTCAAACTATCGCCCCAATCGAGGGGATGGGCCAGCAGAAATATTGAAGATTCTATGCATAGTTGTATATATTCATTATCATATTCAACGCCGGATGTTGCGCTGCACGAAAGCACTCTGTTGAACTTCCATTGAGCCTTCATGCCAACGCAGAAACGCCTATATCACATAATGGCCTGTTGTTGAACCACGACTCTTAAAAGTTCCATGCAAATGCATATCTGACTGGATTTAAGCCTTCGTTGCCTTGCCCTGGTTGAGCATCCAGGAGAGCAGGTCAACCTTGGTCACAACAGCCAAGGGCTTCATCGCGCCACTATCATCCTTCTCGGTCACCACCGCAGCACTGTTCCACTCGAAAAAGCGGTTCAAAACGCTCAGTGGGGTGTCCATTGTGATCTCAATAAAGCCACGGCTGCGGGGCAGCTTGGAGCCCATCTTGGTCAAATCACGGGGATCCGTCACCACCTCTGAGATCTTCGAGAAATCGAACATGACATCGGAGACAGGGCTGGTGCCAGAGGCACGGCCGTGGGTCAGTCGGCTAAGCACATTGCCCAACGTGACGAGGCCAACGAGCTTACGGCCAGAGGGGGCCAGGACGGGAAGTTGATCAAAGCCGCGGTCCCGCATGGTCTCGATGGCAGTCTCGCAAGGGGAACTGGCAGTCACGGTGGTGATGGGCTTCAGGCGCAATGCGCTGACCTTGGCATTGGCCAAAGGATCGGACTCGGCGGTGTGAGCTTGGGTGGTTGATGCAACGGCCGGAAGCGACGGCAGCAGATCGTTGGCCGCAAGCCAGTCATCATCGGCGAACTGCAAGTGGTGAGCTTTTTGTTTTCTCTTTTTCTTCTTCTCCTTCTTCTGTACTTTACGTGATAAGAGAATTGGATCATACCTTGGAAAGATAACTTCTGATGCTGTCCGGAAGGACCACAACGACAACATCGTCCTTGGAGAATTTGTTGGCCTCGTTGGCCTTGACCAGAGCGGCGATGGCACTACCACTGCTGCCACCAACCAGCAGGCCTTCTTCGGCGATAAGACGGCGGGAGTATTTGAAAGACTCGCGGTCTTCAGTCTTGATCCACTCGTTCACGGCCTCTCGATCCAGAACATCGGGAATGAAGTCATACCCGATACCCTCGACCTTGTACGGCTCGTTGGCCCGAGCTTCATTCAAGGACGAGGGAAGGGCCAGAATAGAGCCAAAGGGGTCAGCGGCGATCACCTTGATATCGGGGTTGTGCTTGCGGAGACCACGGGCGAGACCTGTGATCGTGCCACCAGTTCCAGCGCCGGCCACGATGGCCTTGATCTGGCCATTGGTCTGGGTCCAGATCTCCTCGGCGGTACCAAGTTCGTGGGCCAGCGGGTTGTTCACGTTTTCGTACTGATCCAAGATATGCGCGTTTGGCAATTCCTTTTGGAGACGTCTGGCGACACCGATGTGTGATTCGGGGGAATCATAAGCGGCTTCGTTGGGGGTTCTGATAATGGTGGCATTCAAGGCACGGAGGACAGCGACCTTTTCGGCGGACATCTTCTCCGGGAGTGTGATAATAGTCTTGTAGCCTAAGCCGGAGACCCAAGGTTAGCTCTGCCGATTCTCGTAAAGAGATGTGATCCTATGCATACCCTTGACAGCACCGACCAGCGCCAAACCAATACCACTGTAATTCTATCAGTACTAGTCAAACCGGGAAACTCTGGGGACCAACGTATTGCCACTGGTGGGTTCGATGAGGGTGTCACCAGGCTTGATGCGACCAGATCGCTCTGCCTCCTCGATCATGCGCAAGGCAATGCGATCCTTCACACTGCCACCGGCATTGAAGTATTCCAACTTGGCATAGACAGTAGCATCGATTCCGAGGCTGCGGGGCAAGCGATTCAATCGGACGAGAGGGGTATTGCCGATCTGCTGGGTGATGGTGTCGAGAGTGACAGGCGGAATGCCGGGGGTAGTTGTTGAGGCCATGATTGAATGGGTGAAGCTGGAGGTCTCTCCAGTCCGAAGAGCAAATCTCAGCGAAGATTTTCGCCATTGCGCCCCGCCCGACGATAGCCGCCGTGGGCCCACGGACTATATACTTCACGGTTGCACCCAAATGTGAAGTGGGAAATATGTCAGTATATATACCTCCGTACCTAGCCCTGGAGGTGGTTGGATATATTTCAGGATCTAAAGGTAAAATAGCATTCCATGGACTAGTATATTATTGCCGGCGGGGCGCAGAGCTGTGCACCTCAACCTTAGAAATTACAGGTTACAACACTCAACTTCCTACTCTACTTACTACAGAAAACTACTATACGATTGTCTGCCCCATACAAGTCTCTTCAATACTTGTCTACTTCTCCCCAGGGTGGGCACGGGCCACTCCCTAGTTCCCCTCGAGGGAGCCTGGAATGCCTCCTGCTATGAAGGGATGACCCTCTCAATGAGTTTCGATTCGGCGCGTCGTTGTCTTGCACAACCATCACAGCATGCGGACTCAATTGCTATCAGTGGCCGCCTTAGCATGGACTGCCTATGGCCAGGGCGTGTCTTCAGCGACCAGTCTGAGTTTCGATGGCGCGGATGCTGTGAGTCTGCTTTGGGGCATGGACGGCGCACCCACATCTCGCTACGACTTCTATCTCTGTGCCGGGGACGAGACGACAGATGAATATGTAGGTACCTTTCCTCCGAGGCATACACGAGCTAACGATGCATAGGAATCCTTGTCGCAAGTGATAAAGGATGGCGTCTACGCCGCGGGCGACATGGTGACCTTTACAGTCAATCAGGATATAGGAGGCAATCAACCCGATGCATAGTAAGACCACTTCTCCACAGGATCCTGACACTTGCTCACAATGTGTATCTTCAAAGCTTCCTGAAAATTGTTCTATCCGACCCACATGATTACTGGTCCGGGTTCACCTCGCATTTCACTTTGACCAACATGACGGGCTCATTCTCGGCCAAAGTGACCACTTCTATCAAGATGATGAAGCCGAAATCATCCCTGGAGGCCTCCTCGCCCCCCAAAGATGAGGATCAGCTTCTGGAGGCCGAAGAAGTGGCATCCGCTTTCAACATCACCAGTTCCCCAAGTACTTCAATCGAGAAGGCCCTTCAATTCCCGATCCCTACCGCTTACGGTGGGATTGAGCATGAGCTCAAAAAGAGACAAATTGCCGCTGCTGCGGCTCCTGCTGCGGCTCCTGCTGCAGGGGCGGCGGCGGCCGTCGATCAACACACGGTCCCGTATGGTGATCAGACCGGCCTGACGAAGTATGCACCCATGCCAAAGAGGGCCGGGAGTACGATCGCCACTAGATCTGCAACGCCACAATACCCACCTTTCCCATTCTCCATTGCCACTGCCTATATGAGTGCGGCGAGCGTACAATACACCGACATGGCGTATGCCACATGGACTGCGAACAGCATCGAGAACACGGTATGTTGCGTGGATACAAACCCCTTTTAGCGGCAACTTTGCTAATATTTTATATCCAGGCTGCTCCTGCTCCTACTCCCACCTTGGACAAGAGAATGCAGAAGTGGCTAGACCGTTGGAAGGATTGATTGGCCCTTCTGGCCTCCAGGGCAGTCTTATATAGCATTAATGGCGGTAGCCTGCGTGAAAGCTGCGCTGTGGAATTTGCACTTTGGAGTCATTTCAATTCTTTGATCGTGCCTGGGTGATCATAGGCTCTGATTTAGGTGAAGTGTTTGGTTATGAAGAACATATCGCAGAAAGGCTTCAATAATAACATAAATCTTGATTCTCCGATACAGTTGAATGCAGTGAGCTTTTCATCTCATGTTCATCGTGACATGCGTATATTCATTCGCTGCGGTCTGTTCAGGGTGACTTCCAGGCTTCGAGTGCGGGTGTTAATGAGGGGGTTGAGGTGTGGCCCGGGGTGTGATCCTCAGGATGAAATGAGATGTTCTCTCGCAAAGCCACATAATCGCTATCGGCATACCCAAGAAGTGCTTCGATCTGTGTGCTACGATGGCCCTTGATGTGCGCAATCTCGATGCTGCCGTAATTCACCAAAGCCCGCCCGACTTCCTTAGGTTCATCACTGTGGTGGATGAAGTCGCCATTCAAGGCATCTGGGGAGGGCCTTTCGACAACAACTAGTCGCACAGCTTCTTGTTGTCCAAAGTGACCATCGACTCCAACCACTCCAGCCGGGAGTAGATTGGCATTACTCAGAAGCGCATTGTAAGCTCCGTGGTCGATGTACAAAGTACCATGGGGATACAATCCATGAAGGAGCCAGAAAGTGCGTGATTGAATGGGGGTTTGCGAGCGGATGAAACGAGTGTGGAGAGGAGCAGTTGGTGCCTCATGGCCGTCGGTTCCGGAGCCACTGGCTTGCGCCTCGAGATACTGTAGGTATTTCACAATCTCATGAACGTTGCCTGGTTTTGAGCTCTTAGTAATGATGGTCGTCACACCAGCACTGGTTCCAAGCTTGGCAGCGACAATTTTCGTGCTCATGCCTCCCGTTCCAAGCGAGGAGCCCGATGATGAAACATCGGCCTCGAGGGAGGAGATATCGGTCACGACCTCAATGGGTTTCGCGTCAGGATTGTTTCGCGGATTCGCTGAATAAAGGCAGTCGACATCGGTCATGAGGAACAGGTAGTCAGCTTTGACCATGGCTGCTGTGATTGCAGAGAGGGTATCATTGTCGCCAAATTTGATTTCCTGCATGTCAATTGGAGGTTAGAGGTGCTCATATTTTCGTGGCACGTTATTTCTCTTACAGAAACAGCCAAAGTATCGTTCTCGTTGACAATTGGGATCACGCCCATGTCGAACAATTGCCCAAATGTGTTTTGAGCATTGACATATTGGGTTCTCTGGAGTAAGGTCAGCGGTGAGATGCCCCAAGACAGACACCAAATCCCATGGTCATACATCGGCAATGTCGTTTCTTGTCAAGAGAATTTGAGCGACTGGGACGCGGAGGTGGGAAAATAAGTTATCCCAAAGACTCATGAGTCGACATTGGCCCACCGCAGCAAGAGCCTGTTGGTCTTAATTAACATCAATCTGACAACTTGATGGGCTTGACATGGGATATGTTAAGCGCACTGAAACATACCTGTATCCGTGGCAGGTATGTTGGTCTTTCGTCCACATCCATTCTTCGCAACCCGACTCCAACAGCTCCAGAAGACACCAATACCACACGGTGTCCATCCCTATGAAGCTTGGCAGCTGTTTCCACGATCAGAGTCAGAATTGACAGGATGGGCTCGTGAGTTTTCTCGTCAACAATGGAGCTTGTTCCTGTGGGACTGTCAGTAGGGGTTTGTCAAAAGATATAGATCCCCGCACCTAGCTTGATCACAATTGTCAGGCCTGAGTGGGCAGTCATGATGAAAATACAAGGTCTATCTCCGTGTCTATCAAAACAAGTTTTATGCCCAGGACCAATTTGAATAAGTATAATCCCGAATGGACTCGTGGTGCCCGCAGTGACGGAGTCACTTTTTGCCCGTCCCGATTCTGCCATGTGTCACCGCTATGTGCGGAGGATCTCGCTCTATCGCAGGCCAGGGTCGCTTGCAAGTCCAACAACAATGACAGACTCTCAAGCGCCTGGTGCGAATGCACCTTCAAATGGCAAGCCAGAAACAACCGGATTTATCCCTGGTGATGATACATGGACACAATTCCGGAATATCTATTCCATCCTCACGGGCAAGATGTCCAACGAGGGAATAGAACAATTTCGCGTGGCGCGAGATGATCGCAACGAAGCTGCAGACTGCAAGCGCTGCGAGGACCAGCGAGACTATCTTCTCCAATATAGTAAGTCGAGGCCCAGGAGAGGGGTTCAGAATGGAACTAACTCTGGAAACTGAAAGGTCCCACAATTCGTTTCCTCAGCGAGAGCATTCAACAATTAGGCGGCGACCTTCATAACCACAATATCTACTGCCGTCGCTGTACGGATCGAAAGGGCGGTGGTTTTGACCCTGAATATGGCATTCTGATTTGCGCCAACGAAATGAAGGATCAGGGACACCTCGAAGACACCATGGCCCATGAGATGGTTCATGCATTTGACCACCTAAGATTTAAGGTTAACTGGTCGGACAACCTTCGACATGCGGCCTGTGCCGAGGTATGGCCCGATATTCCCCAGGCAAGGCAACCCACTAACCAGGTGTAGATTCGAGCGAGCTCGCTCAGTGGGGAGTGCAGATGGGCGCGGGAGTTCTTTCGGAGAGGGCAATGGAAACTCACGCAGCAGCACCAAGAGTGTGTCCGCCGCAGAGCCGTTCTGTCCGTGAGAGCACGCCCGACATGTAAAGACGAAGCCCATGCCACCAGGGTGGTCGATGAAGTGTGGGATAGTTGCTTCAGGGACACCCGCCCATTTGATGAGATTTACCGATGATACCACAATGATCCCAGCGTTGTACTGTTCTCCACCTCCCTGTATCATAGAGAAAGTTTGTTTATTTGAATGTACCATATGTCATCGACGGTGCTGGGGAAAGAAATCAAGAACCAGATATCGCTATATCACGAGTACCTCTCGGTTTGACCCCCGAGATTAAGCCACAACACCCCCTGGAAATGCTATAACAGACTCCAGAACGCCCGAGACTCCGCGAAAGATAACGCCCCACAAAAAATCACAACTCCAAAAATGTCAACATGCAAGGGCCAGCCATTATTCATGCTTTGCCATCTTTAGAGGAGCCTGAGCTCCGCTTCACACTTCTGTCGTCTTTCACACAATGCTTGACGATCCATGGGTGTCGTGATATCTCCTCAAGCGGGATACGCTTCGCAGGGTCGAGAACAAGAAGCTAGATAAATTGTTAGAGGGAAGCAGATAAGTCAGTGGGTAGGACATGAACACACCCTCTTAATAAGATCCTTTGCCTCGGGGCTCACGAAGGATGGCACGGACATATCTGCCCGGGTAATCCTGCGTTGGGTCATGACTGGGGTATCCTCGAATGGTGCCTCACCGACCAAAAATTCATAGGCCAACACGCCCAAGCTCCACAAGTCAACCTTCTCACTGTAATAGTTGGCTTGAGAGCCCGGGTTGAGCATCTCAGGGGGTAGGTAGTCGAGAGTTCCGCACATGGTCTGGCGGCGGTTGTTGGGTGCATGGACGCTCCAACCAAAATCACTGATCTTGATCTCTCCGTGAATGCCGACCAAAATATTCTCGGGCTTGATGTCACGGTGCATCACGTGCTTTTTGTGCAGGTATTTCAATGCAGCAGCCATCTGTGCGATGTATTGAGCGGCCTTCCACTCCGGGAACCTGTGCTCCTTGCGAAGGTGTTTGTACAGCTCACCACGGCCAGCAAACTCGAGGATCAAAAAGATCCGTTTGCTATCATGGAAGTGACCGTACAGTCTTAAGACATTAGGGTGTCGCAAGTTACTCTGAATCTCAATCTCACGCCTCACTTGCTTTTGGACCCCACCCTGTTGGAGTTCAGACTTGTGCAGCACCTTGAGTGCGCAGACGAAGCCAGATGATCGTTCTTTGGCCAGGTATACACGGCCAAATTTACCCTTTCCTAGAGGTTTGCCGATTTCGAACATGCCCAGGTGCAAGTCCTTGGGAGCAGATGGCTGATCGCACAGCGAAGACGAAGTGCGCTGATCGCCGTTCTCATCGGTGGCTCGGGTAACCAATGCGCCGTGGGAGCCTCTGCCCGGCGAGGCGGGCATGTTCATAGCATTGGCCTTATTTTCATTGGTGTTTTGGAGTGCCAGCTTCAGCAACTGAGCTCGGTTGGAGTTGTTGCTCGTTTGGTTGGAAGGGACGGAGGCCTCGAGACGATGTTAGCGAGTTGGGCGGTCCTCTTCCTCTGGTATTTACCTTTTGCTTGCCATAGGCCCGCTCATTTTGACCATATTCCTTCTCATCTTTCATAGAAAGGTGCTCGAAACGAGCCTCAAGCGTCTTCGACGTCGCCATGGTTGAATTTCTCGAGGGGAGAGCGTCGTCAAGGAAGGCCAGTAGACAACGGAAGAGGGTAGTATAAGTAAACAAACAAGATTTTGTGCCTAGCACAATGTAACCATGATCACTGCTGGGGGTTAGTAGTTCGATGGAGGAGGCCACAAAGGGAATCAAAGCTCAAGTCCACAGATGTTTGGGGAAACTCTACGCGTCACCCCAGCAACGCCTGGGCATTCGCGCTATCACACCGCCTTACTCCCCGCCTTCAGTCCTGGGTCCTCCGTGCGGACTGTGGGAAAGGCATCACCTCCATCGTGCGAATATGAGTAAGACAGCCTTTATGCTTGTCTCTTCTTGTTTCAAATTAGAAGCTGAGATGACCAGAGACAGCTTGAGAAAAACCAATCAATTGTAGCAATGCAGCATCAACCCAACCTTGTACTCCGTAGTTACTACCAACCTTGGAAGGTAATCCTGTCGCATTATGCCAGCCCAAAGACAGACCGCCTCACAGTCGCGGGGTTATCGCTATCGCCGATGGTAGACGGTTGGCCCTCATTTCGCCATTCTCTAGAAGCCGTCAAAATGACTACATGCGCATCTGTCAGCCCAGAGGCCAAGAAGCCCAACACTATCACCATCAATGGCTTCCGGATCTCGACCCAGAAACTCCCCATCCTCAAGGCCGACCCGATTGAAGAAATGACCCAGAAGCTTGGGATCGCTCCACCCGAAATGATCTTCGGTGATAACTACGTTGCGATCGAGCATGAGAAGGGGGACTGGGGCATTCAGTTTAATGCTTTCGATGCCCTGGACAAGGTGGACAAGACTGGCCAATCGATGCTGCAGGTTGCATACTCGAGAGAGTGGCAGAAGAGCAGGTACGGCCAGGCTGTCGCGATTTGGATGGGCACCGTTGGGTCATGCGACTGATCACGAAACAGGGAAAAGACACACGAAGGCATTAAAGAAGTCGTGAAGCCATTCGACTGGTCATACAGTACCGACTATAAAGGCACCCTTCATCCGAATGCGCGGCCGTTCGAAACATCAACCAAGGCCATCCCGATGGAGCTGCTCAAACGCCCAGACCCCATTCTATTCTTTGACGAGGTTGTGCTTTACGAGGATGAGCTGGCGGACAATGGAATCACGATGCTTTCCTGCAAGATTCGAGTGATGCCGGGGAGACTTCTTCTATTGACAAGATTCTTTATGCGACTTGATCATGTTTTGATCCGACTTCGAGACACCCGGATCTATGTCGAATTTGAGACCAAGGAAGTTATCCGGGAATATCTTTCGAAGGAGTGTGAATATGAAACGATTCGAGAGGTATGTTTGTTTACTTTCAAGAGCACTCGGGCCTGATCTGACAATCACCATCAGAAACTTGCCTCTACTAGGGACGATGTTCCAGCCTTTATGAGAGATGCAAACCGACTGTCCGAGATATTACCGGTTGTAGAAAAGCGCACTGAGCGTTTGGTTCTGGGTGAATGAGAGGGCCACGCTTCATGCCCCGGTTAGTAGATCCACACAATACCTACACTGCGAGTCAATGGTCGATCAGGAGGCGATCCAGAGAATGCACGACCGATGGTACCAACGAAGTTCTCATCCACAATCATATCTAGGCGAGGACACGATATTCGCCCAAATTTAATACCATGTAACTGGCCATGCAGGGTCATTATTCTTAGAGCCCAACTCCAGCTTGAAATGCAGCGGTATGCAGGAGTATGCAGATATAGACATCCGACGCCGTTCTTATTTCCATTATGGGGAAGACAAACAGTGCAAACAAAAATCGAAAAAAGATCCAGAACGCCAATCACGATAGACCGATTCACGAACACGAATTCGAAAATGGCATCCAGGAGATTATCAACACTATGGGCGCATGAGGCTCGCGGGTCTCAGCGTCTATGTCTCTCGGGCGCTCGTCGTATCCCAGCTGTGGCATCTACCTCTACCGGAAAATCAGCAGTACACCCGATGATCGCAAGGTCATATTCTCAAGGCAAGGTCTCTAACCTAGCCAAGAACTTTCGTCGACCTGGAAATGCCGCCGAGACCTATGTTGCCTATGGTATGACGCAAAAGCTGTTCGAGGCCTGTTCGACCCAAGCCGACTACAAGATTCCCCAAGCATCGCAAAAGGGAGTAGAAGTGCCCAAGACAGAAGCAGGAGAGGACCTTGGTGTAGGTGAGAGCTGGTGGTATACAGGTGAGTCAATTGTCGAGCTCCTTCGCGTGTGCTTTGCTTGTACATTATGAAGACACCATGCTAACACTCGACGCGTTCATAGAGCTTGGCCTCAAGCCAACCTTTGCCACTTGGTCCCAGGTTACTCTGCTGCACATGTATCTGTTGACCGTTCGTCTCCGTGCCCTCCCCTACCGCGACAGCGTCACCACCTACTCTCGCCACCTGATCGATCACTTCTCGCACGAAGCAGAGCACCGCATGGACGTGTACCACGACCTGGGTAGTCGCACCATTCGCAACAAATACTTGAAGGATCTGTTCATTCAATGGCGTGGAATTATTGCTGCATACGATGAGGGGTTGGCCAAGGGGGATGCGGTGCTGGGCGCTGCAGTCTGGAGAAACCTCTGGAAGGGTAGCCAGACCGGTCCGGATGGAGAAGAAATCGATTGGGCCAAGGTTGCGCAGGTAGTGGTTTATATGCGCCGAAACTTGGCGGAGCTAGCGAAGAAAGAAGAGGTCGATCTTGTCTTCGCGCTGGGGGACAAGAAGGACGCCGGCATCTTCCAATACTCTGACTCAGACAGGAAACTTGTCGGCAGCCAGTAAAGATGCATCGCTCAGGCCAGTGGTGTTTTGTGATGGGGGTTGCTTCGCCTTATGGGCACGGCACCATTGGTTATGAAGATTTGTACAATAGTTAATTGCGCTGCTCTCTTCGCATATTGAAAATTCCATCTTAGATTACGATTCAAAGGTGTGACCAATATATGGATCCTCGGGGCTAGGATTGGACTTAGTTAGGTGAGCAGAGCCCTCCAAGGATGCCAGAGAGACTACCAGACAGGTGAGAGTCTCATCAGAGCACCTTGAACAGGGTACATGTATGCCGTACCCATCCTTGAAGAACGAACCAACTCTGCAACACATCAGTCAGTCATGCTAGGAGAATCTGTAGATGGATTTCTAATCCTTCTTCCCGAAGAGGTCCTTTTCCACCATACCACGGCAAATGGGGTGGTAGAAATCCTTGTATTTCTCAAATGTCTCGAGGGCAACTGGGCGGTTAACCTTCTGAAGGTTGCGGAACCTGAGGAAATATCAGTATCAAATCTAATAAGCATGTAGGGGGAACCTTACAGAGGTCGCACGAACTTCATGCGGCCAATGCGGCCTAGCAACTCGATTGTGGGCTCAATGACGCTCTCGTCTCCGGCCTTCATACCGACCTGGAGATAAAGATTCGATACCTCGATATTCTCGCTATTGGTCAATTCGTAGACATCGCCCATCAGCTTAGAGACTTCCGGACTGAGCGGCTTCTCCAGTAGGAGTATTTGTTCCAGGAAGACGACCAATTGGTTGGCGGTGAGGTCTTTGATGTCGCCGATATTTGGCTGGAAAGAAGAACCCGGCAGGGATTGCCACTTTTTGGAGAGTTCGTAGACTACGTCAACGAGCGAGGTATCAAAGCTGGGCTTGGGTGGCAATCCAGGGGCATAGAACCACTTATCCCAATCCAGTCCGCTCAAGAGTTGATAGGCCTGTGCATCTGGCTTGAAGAAGTCCAGAATCAATGCCTTGAACTCATAAGAGTCAAGTGACTTGCATTTGAATGTCGTGAAGTACTAGCGAGAATATCAGCGAGAGCCCGGTCAGAAAGCAGGTAGCGACATACGTGAGGAATGAATTTGTCAAACTTGGGTTTTCCAACAAGGTTTTCGAGGTAGAAGAGGAAATTGAAGCCCTTTTCGTAGGGAACACTGGAGAAAGCATCGTCGGGGTCTTTACCCTGGAGGTCAACAACGAGCTTGGTGAACTCGTGATCGCTGCCAAAGTGCTCAACGGCATCAGTCAAGGACTTCCATCCAATGATGGCCGAGAAGTGGCGGTAGGCTTCACCGTGAATGGCAGCCAGAATTCTTCTTTCGAGGTAAACCGTCCAACCTTCGTTCAGCCAGAAATGCTCCCACGAGGCGTTGGTGACTAAGTTGCCACTCCAGCTGTGAGCCAGCTCGTGTGCAATAACGTCGATGTTCTCGCGATCCTGTTCAAGTGATGAGTCAAAGGAATTGATACTTGAGCGTATAAACCGGCACAATCGCCGTTGAGTAGCCACTTCAATCCTCCCCAGCTGAGAGTCCCTTACGTACCTTGGAAATAATACTAGGGGTTGCAAAGGTGAAGATAGGGTTCTCCATGCCGCCATACGGGAAACTGGGAGGCAGGATCAGGACGTTATACTCCCCCCATGCATATGGGTAGACAATTTTCTGCACGAGGTCAGCCTTCGTCCCAGGTGAGCGGACGCATGGACAATAGCTGTACCTCGATGGTCGTGATGAAGTTTTCGGTGTCGGCCTCAAGCTCCCATTGACACTCTTTCAGCTTGTCAGGGCTGGTTGCGACGACACTTCGAGGCCCAATTGGAGCTTCGGCAACATCGCTGGGCCACAGTTAGTCCACAGCATCGCAGGATCGGCGAACAAGGGGATCTTACCCACTGGCAATGGCAAAGAGGTAGCTGGGAATTGGCACCGACTGGTGGAATCGGTACAGCTGACGTTCTCCCTCCGTGGCAGCCCGGATCGGCAAACCGCTGGTCATAACCGGGAGGGGGGAGGTGATGTTGAAGTCGAATGTGGCCTTGACATCCGGGGTATCCTGGCACGGGAAGATCGACCGGGCGTGAATTGCCTGGCATTGCGAGACTAGCCACAATATTAGTGTGTGTCAATGACCGAGACCGTTTTCACCTACACATGTAAGGGTGTTTCTTGTTTGAGGTTTGCGCGGGTGTCAGCCACTGCAGCGCCGTGCATTTGTCCGTGGTCTTGACGGCAATCTAAAGGATCTATGAGCGGCTGCGTATGCCAAGGTTCCTTGCAATACATACGTCGACCTCGACTGTATCATTCAGTTTGACACCTTGATCGAGAATAATCTTCAGTGGCACCCCCAACGGGTCACGAGGGGCAAGCAGCTCCCACTGGGAAGGCTGGCCATCCACCTTGACGGTGCTGATATCGAGATGGCTGGTGTCCAAAATGATCTCCCGCGAGCCACCGTTGATCGCCTTGAACCGGTGAACTACATTTCCCACCAGCTTCTTCTGATCGAACAGAATCTCGAAATTTGCAGTGACATGGGTGGACCGCCAATTGTTATAGTTGCTCAGGGTGTTCGGGTCTCGATTCATTGTCGCCATGGTGCGTGAGAGTCGTACAGTGATGGAGGCTGACCGCAAAGTCGAGAAGTTGAAGCTCCGCGCAAACGTGAAGGGATGCATCTGAGGTTGTCTCCGGTGGTGTTTTTTTTTCCCCCGTCACTAAGCGCGTTGCATGACTCAGATTCACCGTGGACTATCGACGGTATATTCGACTCCTGGACCTTGATGGATAAGTAAATTATTTTATTCTGCTCTGAAATGGAATATTACCAATGTTCCACGTCCAATGTCCAATTTTAAATGGACATGTTATAGATCTGAAGTAACTTTTATCCCTGGACGATGTATACAGTCAGGGACTCGACCCCCTTTTTCCCTCTTGGATTTTTTCCCTCTTCACACCCTTGGCCCATCCCCTTTATATACAGACTGCATCTTTCCCCTTCGCATTCCGGCGTCCCCGCAATTGTCGTTTTTCCTTCCACCGCCCGGCTCGGACCACCCCTCCCCTGACGAAGGGATCCTGCCCACTCCAGGTGTCTGTGCATTCTCCGGTGAGTATAGGATCCTCGCGGTGCGCATCCGATCTAATGCGCTTTAGGTCAATTGAGCTCAATGTCTTGGGTGGGATAGACTGTGAAATGTATTAAGACGGATCTATGAGACGATACTCTTCACAAAGAATGAGCCCGCATACGCCGCACGTGGTTACCGATACCGATTGTGATTTCTCTCGATAAACCCCCTCCGAGATACGCTGCGAGGGCCTTCAGCCGGAACGGCATTCGGCAAACATGATTCATACAATGGACGACGAGCAGACCTCTTACATGCGCCGGCCCTCCGGGCCTTTTTCATCGGAACCGGGACCCCCTAATCGCCCGACTTCCCGCTCATCACGACCAAGTTCACGAGCGCGAGTGGCGAAGCCGTCGGGCGCGGTCACCCCCACCGGTCTTGGGGTACTCACGGAGAATGTGGTTAATATGCCATCAGACACGCTGGGGCCAACGAGCCCGATCAAAGAAGGACTGGGGAGTTTGAATCGTTGGTCTCAGTCCACTGCATCGAGTATCAGCCCATCAGAGTACAACGGTCACCATCGTCGGGGGAGCTCGAAAATGTCCCTCGCGAGCTACCATCGTCCACTGGGCACCCAAAGTCCCCAACGGATGCCCGGCCCTGGGTTGCCGATGTTTAACCTCCCGGAGCTAGAGAATTCCGCCGTTTTCAGCACGGACTCCGCGTCGCACCAGCTGGATCTTTCATTCACGGCATCAAGCAGTCTCTTCCAACCCTCGGGATACCATGGTCAGGCAGATATAGACTCTCAGGGCCGTTCAGTGACCCGCGCCAACGGAACAAATGCATTTCAAGAAGATGGGGAGCCGGAGGGTCGGCAACATGGACAAACCCAAAAGGTCATGTTGTCCAAGGCCCTACAAAAGGCAAACACGGCAGTTCTACTAGACAATGCCGCCAATTTTGAGGGTGCCATGGAAGCTTACACGGACGCATGCAATTTATTGCAGCTGGTCATGCTTCGCAGCAATGGCGGAGATGAGGAGAAACACAAGCTTCAGGAAATCCGAGATACTTATATGATACGGGTGACGGAACTTCATCGCATGGACTTCCCTGTCCCAGAGAGTGACGACAAAGCCCTACCAGACAGGCCGCTGAGCCAAGAATCCTATGGGGAGCTGCTCCACCTAGCGCATGATGACTCCCACGATGAAAGCCAGCTCAGCTCGGCCCATTCCAGTTTTGGGTTGCAACAAATTCCTTCGGAAGAAACCAGAGGATTCTCGCTGGAGACCATTCCTCCTCGGCGCCAATCTTTGAAGCCGTCTGCGATGGAAGATCAGCCCCGATCGATCTCGTTGGGAGTCCAAGGGGAGCCACAGGAATCCACCTCCTGGCTGGATACCATCGATGAATCGGGTGCGTCGTCGCCTTCGTCCACGAACTCCAAAGCATCGTCGGTTTATCTTCGCCGCCGGACAAGCCGGCGTCTCAGCAATGATACCGAGGCTGAATTTGATGCGGCCTTAGATGCGGCCGTCGAGGCCGCATATGACGAGGGCTTGGAGCCAGTACAGGAATACAAGGAGGACGAAATGAATGATGACATCGTCTCGAATGCTCGCAGAAATATCGAGTTGGCCAAACAAAGAGTGCGCGAGGCTGAGCTAGAAGCTGAGGCGATGAACCGTGACCACGAGCAGCGCCGAATTCAGGAGCAAACTGGCCCGGATGGTGATGGTCTCATTGCCCGGGGCTCGGCTTATTTGGACGATGAGGCAGAGGAGGAGGAGGAGCGTTTACTGGAGGAAATGACCAAGGGCTACATCATGGATGACTTTGAATTTGGCATACAGTCCAAATCAGCTCTTCCTCGTGAGTCCGATTCGAGCAACGTCTCTGGCAAGGCCTGGGAAAGTTCTGCAACATCCAATGCTACAAGCACCGGAGGCGCCGCGGCTTTATCCACCCTTGCCGAGGATGATGTCTTGCCACTGGGGGAGCTGAGACCGGAGCCGTATAGTATTCCTGGCTCTCCTCCATCTTCTGCCTTGCCACCTCTTCCATTGTCATCTGACTTCCCGACGCCTTCCAAAAGGGCCTCGGTAACCGGCCGCGCCGGGTCAATTGGCTCTCTCGCCTCTTCCACCGGTCCAGGGGTTCGAGCACGGAGACTTTCTAGCCAGACTCGAGAACTCAAGATCGAGACCAATGCCCGCTCCTCCCGGGCGAATTCCAACGCGTCGTCGGCCCTGGACCCTCTTGCAAACCCTCCTCCACCAGCGCCGAAGGACGATCCACTGGCTTCTGGCACTCGGTCCAATCTACACCCGACCCAACGCAACCCGTCGATGGGCTCCTTATTGGAGCATATTAACCTTTCCCAGGCCCGCACCCACGAGGATGACGAGACGGAGCTTCCGCCCTTGCCACGGTCCATGGGCAAAGTGCCCTCAGCTCCAGATGGATTGGACAAGATGCACTCTAATGCAAAGGCTTTCCGGTCTCGAAATGCGTCTGTCCCAATACAAATTCCAGATACCGAACCAGGATCTCCCACTACTCCGTGGAGCGGTGGGTTCCCTGAATCTCGGAGCGCATTACCCGGTGGTGTTCCAATTATGCCCACTCCAACTCTCGCCAATTTTAACTTCGCTCAGAATGGGCTCCCAAGTGGTGGCATGAATTTATTCAGCAGCAATATCCACTCTCCTACGGCTCTTGGCCGACCAAACTCGATGATCACAAACGCACCGATTCCTCTCGAGCCATGCCCCGAGTCATTCCTTCTACGCCCCTTCTGGTTGATGCGGTGTCTTTATCAGACGCTCGCCAACCCTCATGGAGGTTATCTGTCAGAGAAGCTCTTCATCCCCCGGGATGTCTGGCGCGTGAAGAATGTCAAATTGAAAGCCTTGGAAGATAAGGTATCCAACTGCGATCTCTTGACTGCTGCCCTGCTCAAGTTAGCCAAGGTTGATTCATACGATGCCGACGCTGTTCTGGTAGAGATGCAATCATTTGAAGGTGTGCTCGATCAGGTTCAGAGCTTCTTGTCCAAGAAGCTGGGCAGTGATGTTGGCGTGCAGGCCTCAATGCCGCTGTTCAAGCCAGCTTCCACGCCCGACGAGAGCGCTCATACCGAAGCTGCGCCAAACAAATCCTACCTTACTTGGAAGAGACTCCGGGCAAAGACCTCTGGGCTCGGGTCAACTACTCCCACCCCAAGTGCCCGAGAGAGTAATAAAGACAATCTGACTCTCAACTCGGTTCCGATGACTTCCGTGAACGGGGCGCAGGTTAAGCGCAATGTTACCGAGCTCGAGTTCTCTGGTCCCAATGCGAACTACATGGGGGCATTGGCACGTCTTTTTGACGCTGCCCAGGTGCTTGGTGAGTTTTCTCTTCGGGGGACAGGTTCATTGCATTCTAACCAGTTGGCAGAACAAATTGCTCAACAGGTTGAGGACCCTGGACTTAAACACTCATCCAAAACCCACGTTGGTCTAGAACTCAGCACGCGACACGCTGCTGAGTTCTTTGGCTTTTACATTTGCCGTTTTGCGCTGGCCGATGTGAGCTTGATGCTCGATAAATTCATCAAACGTGGGAGTGAGTGGGTGCTGATCTAGGGAGTATATGAAGCCATACGATGATACCCTTCGGGGCCAACGGAGGATAGGAGTTTGCGTTTGATATTTATGATGTTCATATTGATCTCCCCATGTCTTTGAGATACCACTTACCACCAGGGAATATTTGATGATTTAAGAACATAATTGTGATGAGATGGACCTTGTATTTACTGTTTTATCTTTCCTTGCTCATATATTCATTGTTTTCTGTGGATCGCGCTATGGAACCCGAGCAGATCTCGCACGTATAATCCAACCCTTTTGATACCACTTCCCAGACCCGAGATAGAAGATTTTCTTCCCGGGCTGACGAATATACGGCCTTGTAGTACAGACATGGCCCATTAAAGGCATTGACTCGCTGACCGAAGACGACTTCGTCTCCGCCGCTCCGCGTCTCGAATTATTTCAGCCGATAATTTCAAGCTGGGTGCTAGATGAGCGTATCTCTCGACTTCTGAGACGACACCCGCGATGATAGCATCGGTTCTTGGTGCAGGCGGAAGGAGGCCCGAAAGGATCGGGGACATAGAAGCACCCATGATCAGTAGTGTCTGTGAGACCATAGAGAGAGCACCCTGCCAAAGGTATGGAAGATGACCCTCACGGTGACTAGCGATATGCTCCAATTGACGGATTGTAGCGTCGAGACATCGCCGGCAGCACTCTTTCACTCCAGCATCCGATCCAGCCTGTTCGTTCTCGAAGACCGCCAGAATATAAGGGCGATATATGATAGTGCGACATGCGTTGTAGCGCAGCCTGAGCACGGTCTGAACTGGGTTGGAAAGAGGGGGCGATGTCAATGGAAATTGAATTGGTTGAGGTAGACTATCATACCATTGAGACAGCTGAAAGTCAAGCTCGAAGACGATCGGACCCAATGTCGAGAGCGTGTGTGTGCTGTCCTTTTGGTAGATAATATGACTGACGCGGTTCAACAATCTTCGTAACGCGATCTCGGCCAAAAAGTACCAGAGCTCGTCATGCCGAATGGCAAGCTGGGAATCCGGCGGGCGCGAGGAGCCCGGGTGCTTCCTAGTCCCACCCTGTTCCGTTCGTTCTCTCTCCGCCCCGTCTTCATCTTTCTCCTCTTCCTCGAATCCCCCCGGCAGATCTACTACTTCCTCAAAGTTGACGATGCCGGAGTGGGGGAGATCCAGCTCTGCTAGAAGATCACTTTCAAACAGCAGAGCGTTCCAATAGACCCTGACACTCAGTTCTCGCCATTGGTCGGGAATCCGGTCTGGGCTGCCGAACAACAACTGTAATTTCAGGCTCACGTTGGACAGCAGGGTCCAAGCCTCCAGAGGTCGCACCAAATAAAAGAGATAGGCAGCAGCCAGCACCATGCACTGTGCCGCCACAACAGTATTCTGCATCATGGCCGATGGCAGAAAGCTCCATGCAGCAGCAAAATAGGGAAGCCCTGGCGGTTCATGATCGGCCGGTACAAACGAAATACTGCCGCTGTGGCCGGCGCTCCCAAGAGCCAACACTAGGAGAACAAGGCAGCTCATCGGCCCTCCTTGAAATCCCTGTGCCAACGCCGATTGATAGTACTGATTCCAAGTATGAGGATTCACGCAGGCATACCAAACATTGCCATGGTTGAAGAAGGCCTGGGCATACGTAGATGCATTGGTCAGATCAAAGCCCGAGTTCGGAGTCAGCCGCAGGGGCTCACGAGCCATTTCCAGCCGAAGCAGATGTTGTGGATCATGGCCCTCCGGGACCAAATCTCGAATCAAAGGCCACCGGAGAAGATGAAGAGCTGGGGTGGTATGCATTTTTGGCATGGTGGAGATGCTGATACTAGCAGGTGGGTTAACCCAAGATCCAAGTCCCACAGCCGACAATCTTCCATGGGCTGGCAACCCAGAGCTTCTGGTCAATGTGTCATCGCTGCCAATGTTGGTATCGTGGCTGGTGGCCGGCGAAGTGGTTGAGAAGGCGGCATGCGGCTGAGTTGTGAGACTCGAGTGAAGCAGGCTCTCAATGCGAGTCAGTTGATCAAGTATCAACTTGTCTCCGGCATCAAGTTTGATCCCTGGCTCTCTGTACACACATTCAGCATTCAAGTCGGAACACAGTTGACACTTGGGCCGAGCCCCGTTGCATCTAGTCTTGCGCAGTCGGCATATCTGACACTGGGTCACAGTTAATTTCGCCTTGTCTGTATGTCTCGGAGGCGCTTACAGCTATTGTTGCTCGTCTTCGAGGGTACTCGACAGTCTCCGAGGTTGAGCGCTTTTTCTTGCCCAATGTACCATCGCTGTGCGGGTAGTCAACCGAATCTCCCGCTTCTTTCTCTCGCACGGACATTGCCTTTTGGTTACAGTCAGATCCATGCGCCAGTCGAGTTCAGGTGGGTGTGAGCATGGCCGTATCAGATCAATACTAGATGGGAATAGCGGTGCTCCGTAGAGAAAATGAGTGGAGTTCTGGGGTGGTTCTTCCTAGATTCCGCAGAATATAAAAGAAATTGTGCGCAGGCGCTCATATGTAAAGAGAGAAACAAATTTCCCATGTCTTAGATTGTGGTCTGCCCCTATGAATCTGGGTAGGTAGGGTTGATTCGGCACGGACTCATGCCGTGTCGATTTGGGGGTTTGTGAATGTGACGGTGACATGACAAGACGGTGATTGCAAGTCTAGTAATAGGCAAGAAAAAACTCGAAATCAGAAGGGAGAGAGCAAAATGTCTAAAGAACAGAGCAGCAGAAAGAGAAGAAACGAAGAAACGAAGTTCAAAGTCGATGTCACATGTGGTCCACGTGCACCGCGTCCCAAACAAACGCGTCGATCTTTTTGTGGGCGCAACCCTCGCTCTCTACACCACAATGCCTCGTCCTGCGCCAAAACGAAGCCGTACGGCTGGAAAGCCCACCCAGAGATCTAGGGAGACGATCGAGTCTGCGCATGATGCTAAATCTCCAGGCCCGGAGCGTGGCGCGGATCCAAGGACTTTGCGCGAACAGACACCCTTGGCAAAGAGCTATGAAAACGCAATTGATTCTTCGCCAGGGGACCGCCCGGGTACTGGAAGTCGGCCGGGAACTGGCAGTCGACCCCCCACGAGATCTCGCGGTTACTCGTCTACGCTCTCTTTTGCTGGGCGCAAAGGCGACAACTCCCGAATTCCTGGCACGCCTGGCTTTGATAACTCGGTTCTGAGCAACTTCAGACGGCGCCCACGACAGCAGAGTATTCTCCATCATCTCCAGGCGGACGAGAGCTCTTCTGAACTGGATGATGATGACTTCCTGGGTGGATTAAGTCCAAATGATGAATCGACCCCCCTGAACCTCTCCCGGGGCAAATCCCTTCTGGGACAACCAAGCGAGAAGTCACCTTCGCCAGGATCACCACTCTCATCCGGCGGGTCACGTAAACGTCGATGCATGACCCAGGATATTCAAGTGCCACAGTCGTCCGTGGAAATGGTGGAAGACACGCCAACGGCGACACCGGTTCAGATGGTCAAAGACACTCCATCTGGGACGTCGCTGGAGTCTGGGGAGCCTTTGCAGCACGGAGAACCTGAGATGGTGGTAGAGTCCCAGGATCCTGGGACTGATGTCGAAGAACCTCGGAGTGAGGAAGAAAGGGAATCTGTGGTTGAAGATCCAGAAGAAGAGGTCCAAGATGAACAAGTTGAATCTACGCCGCAAGCTCAACGATTCCCAGAGATATTAAGTCAGACTATGCTACCTCCGGCTAGTAGTCCAGCCTGCTCAACTCAACTCGATCAATCTACGCCACAGTCCGTTAAGAAACAACAATCCAGAGGCCGGGCTTACTTATCAACCGCAAATTTACAAGACAAACTTCTGCCACGACGCCGCCGCCGACACCGCGCCGAGAATGGTCTCAGCGACAGTGACGATCAGCATGAGGCCGCATCTGGTGATGAAGATGAATTGAACTATCCCTCACAATCTCGGAAGCCAGTCAGACGACGAGCAGGAACAGGCAAACCCAAGCCACTGGCCACTGCCCACAATCCCAAGCAAAGGAAGACCGAAAAGAAACGCAAAGCAGAGAGGGAACCTGCGACCTATTCACGTTCGCGGGCCACTGCCAACAAGGAGAACGAGATTGCTCTATCTTCCCCATCCTCGTCTCCATTGTCCTCCCCACCTGATACCGACGTATCTGATTCTGAAATTCAAACCAACCCCACCCGCTGCACGAGTGATGAGTTGCGGGCAGCATTGAAGAAGTTCGCGGAGGTGGATCAATGGAAGATGGAGTTCGAAGATATATCAGCATCGGAGCTTTGAACGAATCATATATGTGTAATGGTTGTAATGAGTGGATGTTTTGACACCGGCTGTAACCGCCTTATGTGAGCCCCGCAATGCAACCGAGGGTTTTAGCCAATCTGTCCCCCTTTGCTTTTTTCTTCCCTTCTTCCAACGTTCAAGATGACTTCAGACATCCCTTTCAGGGAGTACCCGGCTAAGCAACATGCGTCAAATGTCGCCAAATACCTCAAGGACAAGTACCTCACTGAGAAGTACGGCAATGAGCCCCATCCGGCCGTGGTGATCTACCTGGAGGCTCAAAAAACCCGCATGATTGAGGACAGCGACGAGGCTATGCTATTCAGGTACTAGGTCCTGCTACTGGAAGCTTGACATCTCACTAATCCGACCAAGACAACGTCGTCCCTTCTTTTATCTCACTGGATGCCTGCTACCTGATGCCGCGGTAGTATACAATTCGGCCCAGGATGAACTCACTCTGTTCATTCCCCCAATTGATGAGGAATCTGTCATTTGGTCCGGTCTTCCGCTGTCTCCCGAAGAGGCCGCAAAGACTTACAATGTGGACCGTGTTTTGTTCACAACAGATGTCAACGCGACTTTGGCGTCGATCGCCACGACCCACAACGGCAAGACTGCCGCTTTTTCAATTGCCGGCCGATTTTCAGAGGGCGTCAGTTTCGACGGCTTCGCCGAAACTAACATTTCTGCCCTGAACGCCGCCATTGAGAACACTCGCGTGGTGAAGACGTCGCACGAAATCGCGCTTCTCCGAAAGGCCAACGAGATCTCTACCAAGGCTCACCTTGCTGCTATCGAGGCCGCCAAGACTGCCACAAATGAGCGCCAGATTGAAGCTGCCATCATCGGCGCTTGTATTGCTAACGGCTGTCGCGAGCAGTCTTACCATCCTATTGTTGCTGGAGGCGAGGGCGGGGCTACGCTTCACTACGTCGGAAATGATGTTGACCTCGTCGATCCCAAGACGAAGCAGCGCAAGGATAGCGTTCTGATCGACGCCGGTGGTGAATATCAGACATACTGTGCTGATATCACCCGCGTGATCCCTCTAAGTGGAAAATTTTCGGACGAGACCCGCGCCATCTACGAGCTTGTCTTGGAAATGCAGACAAAATGTATCAATGAGCTCAAGGAAGGCGTGCGGTGGGATGATGTACACGCTCTGGCACATCGCATCGCCATCGAGGGCTTGTTGAAACTGGGTATCTTGCGCGGATCCCCAGATGAGTTGTTCGAGAAGAGGGTCAGCGTAGCCTTCTTCCCTCATGGTCTTGGCCACTATCTCGGAATGGACACCCACGATACCGGTGGTAATCCCAACTACGAGGACGAAGATCGCATGTTCCGCTATCTGCGCGTTCGCGGCACTTTGCCCGCTGGCTCTGTGGTGACCGTTGAACCCGGTGTAAGTCAATGTGAACTCCTTGGCTACATTCCTGCTAACTTGGCCCCAGATCTACTTCTGTCCCTTTATTATCAATCCTGTCCTGAAGGATCCCAAGACCAGCCATTACATCGACTCCCAGGTCTTGGATAAGTACTGGAGGGTTGGAGGAGTGCGTATCGAGGACAACATCCACATTCGCGAGACGGGTTATGAAAACTTGACCACAGCGCCCAAGCTGATTGCAGAGATTGAAAGCCTAGCATCATAGATAGAACGAACTCGGGAGACTTTGTGGAGGCTCCGGTTGGGTTACATGTAGGATGCTTGGAATCCATGTGTGTTCGTTCAATTGTATTCGCCAAATCATGATCACCATAGAAGTAGAAATCACCTGCCCCGAACGTGGTGAGTATGCCCCAATTGGAATTGTACAGATTACCCCGACTAAATCTCTCGTCTGGTGCGCTTACGCGCGCTCCCTTTGATATCATCCTGGGCGCTGCTCCTTTCCTTGCGATCTAAAATGATCGACAACACATCGAATGAGAATTGAGGAACTTCAATGCACAGTTTCTGGAAGTCATCACCAACCTCATGACGCAAGACGTGACTCTGGTTGGCCCAATGAGAGGCCACTGGCTTTCGGATGTTCGTGTCGTCGGCAGGGGTGTGAGTGTACACATAGCGAGCATATGCGAGCTCTGCCGCGGGCGTGCCCTTGATCTTATGGATCTTCCCATGCGCAAGGCTCTTCAGGGCCGGTAAACCGAGCTTTTCGGCCAGTGTGTAGGTCCGCGCGTGGTGAAGCATGTTCTCCTCGGTCTTGTCTGCCTCTGAGATACCAGTAGCGGTTTCCGGAATGGTATAGTCGCGAGTGTACAGAAATTGCAGGAAGTGGCTGAAAGCATCGACGTTCTCTTCTGGGAGGTTGATTCGTCGCTGGTGATCGCGACGGGTTAGTTGATGTCATGGTCAAGCGGTGAAATATCGACTCGCCGGTCCCTCCAATTTGTCCACTAGCTCGGCGAGGAATGGCGCCTGCACCAACAAGTTCTGATGCGCTTTGATAGATGTTTCATTGTCGCCTGCGCCAACCACAATCTCCACGATTGGAGAGGTCAGGAAGCTTGGGGGATAGGTGAGCTCGGTTGTCATCGCAATGAAAAGGAAGATGATTTTGAGTGACTCGCAAGGGTAGATATCTTACTCAAGGAAGTTGATGCCAGCATTCTTCTTGGTCGGCGCCGGGGCAGGGGCAGCTAGCTCTTGCGCGTCTGAAGTTGTCGTGTCTTGCTCGGGTTGCGTGCCTCCCATCTCGACCTCGGTCACATCACTGACATCCTGGGCAGGATGGGCGGGCTCTGCAGATTGTGTAGGCTGAACAGGCTGCTCAGGCTGCTCAGCCTCGAGGCGAACTTGTGGAGTGGGGGTATTCATGGAAGTAAATTAGAGGTGAAAGCGGATAAATGCTGGAGCTCTCAGCTGTCAACGCCTTTTGGCACTTGGGGCTTGGCGCCTCCAGTGTCTGTCAGAATCACGTCTCAGCATCCCAGGTAATTCCAGTCCATACAAGCCTGGGTCAATCATATTGAATGGCTAGAAAGCTGGGATCTCAACCTCTTCGGGGGGGGGGTCACTCGGTCGGGCCATACATCCATGGATATATACCTACCTAGGTAGTATATATAGATCAAGGGAAATAATGAATTAGAGCAATGATTCTACAACGGACACACGAGGCCACTTGCAGGGCTCAGGCTGGACAAAGATGAAATAATCCTGGAATTCCTCGACCCCCGAGCCCAGTTGGCCTGATACCATCTGGCCAGGAGTTCTACAAACGTGTGAAACCTCGAAGTTTGTATGGGATATCCGCGCACTGCCATTCCGGTGCTTTGAAATTTACATGTAATTGAGAAAGAATATAATGTGCAATACCCAGGTACCATAAACATTGAGCATAGCGAGCCACCACATTCCTTACATCTTCTCGTGAGTAGCCATTAGAGATCCTGCCAAGGGTTAGTTGCCAATCATCCCGACAATGCATAGAGAACGTACCGATGAACGTGGTGACCAGACGCGAGCGAACCTGGCAGATGTCCTCTGGCACCAGCCAGATGGTGGCACCCATCTTTCTGGCGATACTGATGGAGAGCTTGGCATTCGCATATGCCTCTTCGTCGGTCCGACCAGGGGTGACCAGGTCGTAGTCCACGTAGCTGCTCTTCATGCCGCAGAGCACATCCAGAAGGAAAACTCCAGATCCAATGGATTTGTCCTTGAAGCTGCGTATCGTGGATGACCGCCCGCCACTGCTAGACATATCATTCGCCCATTTGATCATCTCGGTGTCCGTGATCTCACGCTTGCCTAGTCGCTGGGCTAGAGCAGAGAGCGTGTTGGTGATGTCGCGGCGCATGAGTTGCCACACCAATCCAAGGGTCAGAGTTCGCTGACCGTCAGTGATATCCGCACCCTGAACTCCCACAAGAGAGAACCCATTGAATTTACCAAGTTCGATGGAATAGTTCGTGTTCTCGACGGCCTTGAATCGCATCAATTCACCGCCAGAGGCCGGGGGTTTATTGACGTGCCGCCAGTTGACACTGCCGGGTATGACCTTGTCGTACGCCTGGAGCAAAACGAACCCATCACGGAGATCGTCAAAGAGCGAGTTGACTGCGGGCTGCACATCCAGAGAGTTCAACCACAGAGTGAAGACCCGTGCCTCTCGTTCACCCTCGGCGTCAAAGTCCTCAACCTCCAGTTTTTCTTCTTCGGTGATCGGGTCAAGTCCGGGGTGCGTGTTGAACAGATTTGCCACAAACGCAAGGTTGAGCTTGGGATTTCCAGCAACCAATGAAGCCGGAGTCAAGAACTTGCGACAATCAAGCGAATCTGCGTTTTTGAGAACCTGTTCGGCGCGATCAAGCAAGTCTTGAGTCTGCAGAGGACCGCGGGAGCAAACATCAGGTGCCAATTGGTTCAGGAGAACCGTGTAATTCTCGCCGTCCTTCACATCGGTCGAGAAGTTAGTCACCCTATGATAATTAGCAATCGAGTCGCCCTTGCGTATCTCGATAAACATACCTTCGGTCCCATTTGGCGTTCTTGAGGTGGTAGTTGAACCAGCGAAGGAGGATCTGCTCGGGGGGCAGACGCAGGAACTGTTCCAATGTCTCATCCTCGTCCAAAAGTCTGTAGAGTTCCGGGTGGAGCTTGATATCGATCTTCCCGAGAAGACCACGGCGGATGATTTGCCAGATCAAACCCAGAATCAGATGCTCGCGCACTTCAATGATATCCCCACTTCCGATGTTAACCACCGAGCAACCGATACCCTTGGCGGAGTTGATGACAATGTTGTTGTTTTCGGTCATGTGGAATGCATTGAGTTGCTTGATCTTCTTTCCGGCCTTGTTCAACACACGTTCATCAATAGTATCAGGTACGCTGTCGTTGATCAGCTTAGCGAGGACCAAGCCGTCCTTGCACTTGTCGAACATCTCAAATGTATCTGTGGGGAAAGGCAGAGAATCTCCAATATCCGCATCGCCTGCCAGCACGGCATTGATGTGGCGGGTAAACTCGGTTCGCTCGTCCTCGTTGATTGTGTGAGTCACGTTGGAGGAAGACCCTTGAACATGTATGCGCCCGCCGACACTGCCTTTGGAGACATGACGAGAGGCTCCAGTACCGGCGCCGGCCCCTTGGATCACGGCCGCGGGGGTGGAGGCGGGGGCGCCTCCGCTAGGTGCTGTCCGGAGCTTCGCAACGAGCTACCAGGATGTTAATATGGACAGGGACATAACCGAGGAAGGGATGTCTTACATCGACATAGTCTTCGAGTTCCACACGTCGGGAGCTATCCAATTCCACATCCTTCAATGCCGCGCGCACCACATCGTAGGGCTGGCGCTCCGACTGTTGAGCCGCCTTGATAGCGGTGGACTCGTCGAGATAGCCTCGATCTTCCACATCAAGTCTGTTGAATGCATCCTGGAGGGAAAAGATCGCGCCCTGGTCGAGCTGGGGAAAGCGCCTGTAGCCAACACAACGATCAGCAGCCGTGCAGAGTCAACATCCAGCTAACCTACTTCTGAAGCTTGAGGGCGTTCATGTCGAAAATAGAACCCTCGAGCTCTCGGGACAATGGGGAATTCCAATGCAAAGGGTAGACTCTCAGAGAAAATGCCCGTCTTAAAAAGGGTCAAGGTCAAAAGGTGGGCAGTGCCCCGAATGTATAGAGGGGCGTATTAAAACGTGGAAGGAACGCCACGGCATGCTGTGTATTGCGGTGGTAAACCGTGTATTTTTACGTATTTTAGGTAATCATCGCGGGGGATGACGTCGCCTTTACCCTTCTGCCTGTTGCTGACGCGCTGCTCTGCGACCTTCACGGTCCGTTCAATGTTGCGGCTTCATCGTCGAAGCCTAGCTGCTGCAATCTTGGCATCAATCCGGGTACCCGTAGACCGGCTGTAGGTACCTGTCCTTCAAGTATATGCAGGATGCGATGCATGGTACTCCGTACTCCGTATTCCGTAGATACATCAGTCTCGCCGCTCACAGCCGAACGGCTTCTGGAACATTATGCACTTCGTAGCGAAATCTCACACTCCCTACTCTTGAGACTCCCCGGACGCGGAGTTGACCTCTGGAGGCGGGCGGAGTGGATTACATCATTCCCCGGCAAAACAAACACCTTGTGTCAGGACGGTGTCAGGACGGGATCACCATCGGCAGTAGTCTTTCCCCCCAACCCTATCCACGCTGATTCGCCTCACCTCACGGGTGCGCCCCAGAATGGGCACAGAGCAGAAATCTTTCCTGGGAACTCTATCTCCATGGAGTACCCCACGAAGCGTGACGCCGCAACCGGCCGACCCTCCGAAGCCAGAGGCCCTGCAACGATCACAAGGAGAAGATCACACAGTGACCCATCGGAATCGGCTGAGCATGCACCGCTACCCAGCGGATTGCCCGGCATTGAAAGTGAGATGGTTCTACGCCGTGGACTCGCCAAAGCGGAAGCCCTCCCCGCTGGAGCAGAAAAAGGCAGACCAAAAGCCTCTACCCCCACCGAAGAAGTTTGTGCCATTCCCCAAGAAAGATTCCCAGTCTATCGAAGGCACTTTTCAGAAACTATCGGACATCGAAGAGGCTCAGCGACAAAATGAACCGAAACCCAGCGAGACGGTTGTTTCCAAAGTGCCTGTGAACGAGGACTTCTTGTTCAACGTGGATGTGGAAGAACGAGAACTGAGCCCGACATATTGGATTGCCCCTGTGTATGAAGTCCGTCGGGGAACATGGTTTATACAAGATGGATCCGGTCTCAAACCGTGCGAAGAAAACCTTGCGACCCAGCTGGAAGAGGGATTCATCAAAATGTGCCCGTGGAGGACTGAATCCACCCCAGGCGGCCCTACCGAGCAAGCCGCGAGAACAGGCGAAGAAAGGTCTAGCCAGGCCAGGCCCGCGCTGGAGGACTCTAAAGCCCCGACACTGCACACTGCCAAGCAACCGATTTCTCAAAGCAACGGGAACGACGCTAATGGACCTGGAGCAGAGCCCCAGCAGTATCGCCTTTTTGGGGCTTACATGAACAGAGTGGTGGCCTATCAAGATTCCACAACCGCTTGGCTGATGAATGATGATTTCATGTCGCGCTTCAGCACATCCGTCTACCAAAAGCTAGGAGGCGTCCCGGGAACAAAGTTGGTCCGTGGGTATGAGCCCAAAAAGCCCAAAGAGGCTTCTGAAGGGAAGAGCTCCAACCAAAAACAGAAAGACGATGATTTGCCTGCCACAGTTGTCAAAGACACATTGAAAGAAGGATTGCAACACTCCACAATAGTACCCCCCAGAACAGCCCAAGCAGATAGCCTCGAAGGCATAGAAAGACCAAGGTCTACCATAGAGCGACAGATGTCATCACTCGCGGGCGAGCCCCAAAATCCAGCCGAACTTGAAGAGCAAGCCCGCAAACAGGAAGAGCAAGAAATGGAAGATTCGAGGGAGGTTGAAGGGGAGGATAGAGAGCGCGAGGTGGATCATTTAATTCTGGTCACTCATGGGATCGGTCAGCGACTCGGATTGCGGCTAGAAAGCATCAATTTCATACACGACGTGAATGTGCTTCGCAAAACACTGAAAAATGTTTACAAAGGTTCTCCTGATCTTCAAGCATTGAACTCCGCGTTCCCGGACGGCACTCAGAACTGCCGTGTTCAAGTCCTACCTGTGTAAGATTCGACGACAGCCCCCGGCTAGTGTCTGTTTGTTGCTAATGGGTCCAGGTGCTGGAGACATCTTCTTGACTTCCCGTACCGGGGAGTCCGACAGAACAGAAAAGAGCTTGATCTTACCGATGCAGATGCTCTTGAGGATGAGGCGTACCCAAGCTTGGCAGATATCACACTCGACAGTGTCCCCGCGGTGCGAAACCTCATTTCAGATCTGGCCATGGACGTCCTTCTTTATCAAAGCGGGTATTGCGAACACATTTCCGACATTGTCGTACGGGAGTGCAATAGAATCCTCGAACTATATCGGAAACAAAACCCTTCGTTCAAGGGCTCAGTCAGTCTCATCGGTCATTCCCTGGGAAGTGCAATCCTCTTCGATATTTTGTGCCACCAGCAAGGCTGCGCAGAGCAGAACAGCAGCTCGAGTGGAAAATCCCAAGCAAGTGACGAGCCAGCGTCCAAAAACACCAAGGCAAATGCGCTCAGATTTGAATGCGAGGAGTTTTTTTGCCTTGGGTCCCCTATTGCACTCTTTCAAATGCTCAAGGGGAAAACAATTGGCGGGTCTTCCGCCATGGATCCTCGACATCGCAGAAATACCTTGAATGTCGACGTTGACCCGGCGCCGCGGGCGCCTGGACCCGGGCTAGACGATAGTCCCACTATAATCTCGACCCCGAAGTGTCGGGATCTCTACAATATATTCCACCCTTCTGACCCCGTGAGCTACCGCGTTGAGCCTCTCATATCCCCAGCAATGGCCAGCTTGAAACCACAGCCTCTGCCCTCGGTGAAGAAGAGCTTGTGGACAACCTCGGGGCAAAGTCTATCCATCCTGGGTAGTCGTATGGGCCAAAGTGTGGGATCTATGTGGACAAACTTTACCACGGGCGTGGCAAGCAGCTTGTTGAACCGCAGCTTGGGGCTGACCAGCGATGACGCTCCGACCTCACATGCTACCGGCAAAGGGGCTGGTGATTCAACCCACAAACGAACCCTGTCTGGTTCCACCCAGCATGGTTCAGAGGCCGATGATCACCACCAGACTCTGATTGAATCTGATTTAGAAACCCTGTATGATGGTTTCCAGAAAAGTCGCAGTAATAACCATGGAGAAAGTCCAGACCCAGAAGCCGACACCGACCAGGAGCGGAAGCTGAAATTTGAAGATGCTAAAGTACGTGCCATGAACGCCAACGGTCGGGTGGACTATAGCATACAAGAGTAAGATGGCACGCCCTGTTGATGAACCCAACTAATAGGAACACAGGGGAGCATTCGACATCTCGCTCATTGCCAGCATTGCCAGTCACCTGACGTACTGGGGCGATGAAGATGTCAACCACTTTATGCTATCACAAATTCTGTCCCGGAGGCATCGGCATAGGGTGAAGCATAGACCAGCCACATAGAAATCCATGCGCTCCGTACTCCGTACTTGGAGATGAGATATAGACGCTGGCTATGCCGGCCCAGATGGGACTAGCGTTGCCCAGGTGTCGGTTAAAGATTAGATAATCTTTCCATACAAAAAGACTTTTTCCTTCGGCCAGCCAACTTTGTATCTGCAACCTGCATCTTCCCAAGCTTTCTCAAGCTGGCGCCGATCATGACGCCCCTGGACGCGCCGATCCCAAAGATCCAATGCCCGAAGGGCCCCCAGGCTCCTTTTAATGCAGAGGATGTTACTGACGCAGAACGAAGGCACGGTCCGATGTCAGCTTGATGCGGCCCCTTCGCCACAGTCTTCTGACACACTCAACATTTGTTCATGTTGCATGGTAGGTGACTCTCGCAGGTGTTGCTCTTCGCGGCAGCACAGCCTTGTCGCTTGTCTCCAACTCGAGCAATTGAACTGGGGGACGGCACCATGCGAGACACCATTCTCTTGGATCTGGGGCTTCGCATGTATTCTTGTAGATCCGTAAAATCTCCTTTTCCCGCCATCTCTTTACATCTGGCATGACGCACATTCACTTTGAATGCTCAGATTCACTCGGATAGCGGAGATCAACTCCTCTCTGTTTGCTTTAGATTCCTTGCTGTACAGCTCCAGCTTGCGAGGAAATGATGATTGGATACATAACGTATGTACTGAGTAGTAGTGGAGTGCAAAATGCTTCGTACATACCTAGACTCCCGAGGTCCTTACTCCGTACGAACTCGGACGCACAGGGCAGAATGCCAAGTATTCGATCCCCTTATCTCTAACTTCGTTTACACCTCTCCTTGGTAATCTCACAATGAGTCGCCCAGACGCCTCTGCGACATCCGATCCTCCTATCCAAGGACTCATCAATTACACGCTCGGTTTTCTCGCGACCGCCAACAACGAAGCTCTCCTTGGTGTCTTCGGCCTTCTTGTTCTCTTCACCTACATAATCTTAGGGAGAATCGGTCTACTCCTGATCGGAGTGGCCGTTGGTGTTGTCCTACATGCCTCGTGGGAAGGGTCCGACCAGCACACGGGCGAAACTTCACAAACGAACAAATCCAGGAGGCGGAAAGAACTGGCGCTGGAGGTCTCCAGTAGACTCTTAGAATGGCCGAAGCGAGGGATTGCGTCCGATGCCCAAAACGAGCAGGAGGCATCGTTAAATGAGCCCGAGGGGAGGTCCTCGGTAGGCCTTGAATATACTTCCTTTCAACCCGCCACTGCGGACGCACTCAAGGCCCTCACGGATGCTGTCATCGAAAACTATATCAAGTAAGCATCTCTTTTCCCCGGGGCCTCTGCTCCTATACCAGGGACACAGGTTGCTAATGAGCCCCAAAGGTATTGGTATGAGCCAATTTTACCCTCGGAGCCAAGTTTTCCTGGCTCCTGTCGCAGAATCTTGACCAACTTCGTCACGTCTGTCTCATGGCACCTGTCGCGAAAACGAACGGAGGATATTTTTCTACAGTTCCTCACCAATTCTTCGTCGATCGTGATTGTGTTTTTAAACGAGCTCGCTGCGGCGTTCACTGCTGCTGCCGGAGCAACCGCCCCTGTTGAGGCCCAGAGGGCCGTGGAACAGTACCTAGAACAATGTCCAGATAGCAGTCTGGCGAACGTTCTTTCTGATACACAACAGAAGAAAAAGCTCAGTATGATCGCAGACGATATATTGTCGAACTACCTTGATTCAAAGGCCTACAGTTGTCAACCCGTGAGGGACTTCCTTCGCGAAGTCTTTTCGGGGGTTGTGCTAAACTCTGTTATCACCAGCCTGGCACGCCCTGAATTCATTAACGGTTGGATCATCCACCTCCTTGAGGATGGGGAGTCGGAAATTATGCATGCCATCGACGCAGGCGTCGAAGGCGCTCGGAATCAGGGGGTTGGGGCACCTAAAGTCCCAGACGAGCCCATTGCAGATACTGAAGACTCGGTCAAACTCTCAAGTAGGCAATCTACGCAGGCTGCGAGAGATTCGGAAGAAGCTGCGATTCTAGAGGTGAAGCGCCTTAGTGCTATGATCGCTTCCCAACCCAACCTAGGACTTGAATCAGATCTATCCCAGCAAGAACTCGACGAAGATCCCACTCTACCCGCTGATCGAGCTACAAAAGATATTTGTGGCAGTGAGCGGAGCCACGATCACGATAAGATTACTGGAGCACCGTCATCCAACAGACCAAAACGGCCCAATGAAGATTCAACGCCTCTTATTATTCTTCATGGAGCACAGATATTGGTAGATGATGACGGATCAAGCAATGATCAGGGGCCGATTAGGTCGCGACCCACATGGGATTACTTACTCCAGGTCGAGCCAGCGTCTACACGGTCGACCGGATGGATGGTGTTTCGCAAATACTCGGACTTCCAATCGCTCCACGAGATGCTGGAGACTGTCTCCCGCCTAAATCTCATTCAAAGCTTCTCAGAGCGCCACCCGACATTACCGCCTTGGAAGAATAAGACAAGGCAGGCCTTGGCTCGAGAACTGGAGCATTACTTACAAGATGCCATGAAACATGAATCACTGGCCGATAATGACCGAATGCGCCGGTTCTTGGAAAAGGACGCCGGCTCCTCAGAGGCGACTGGCCCGAACAAGTCCGGCTTCTCTTTCCCAAGTCCGTCTGCATTTGAAAACATGGGCAAAGGCATGCTAGATGCGCTAGCCAATGCGCCCAAGGGGGTGGCAGGAGGGGGCAAAGCTGTCTTTGAGGGAATGACCGGGGTTTTTGGCGGCGCAACTAATAATAAGAAACCTGCTTCGGACCAGAATAACCTCAAGACCATTGGATCCAACCGGACCAGCCTGTCACAGACACGATCGAGCCTTGATGACCATTCCAGTCCAGTCCACGAAATCGACGACTCTGTGTTACTTCCTGGCAAGCCTGCAGACTGGCAGAGTGAGACCTCCGAGTCACCCTCGGCTGCTGATAATGACAAGGGATCTATTCGAGCCGAGCAAGATGCCTGGACCACCGAGTCATCACTTTCTCAAACACCCCTCGATCTCGGCGTTCATACGGCAAAGTCCATGGAGCCAACCAAGCAATCCTCTACCCACCGTCGGTCTGAAACTCTGCAGAGTGTCGATCCTCCCCCCAAGAAAAAAAGTACCATCACGGCGGATGAGACACAGGTTGCAGTCGAGCTGATTTTTGCTGTGATCAATGAATTGTACACTTTGTCATCTGCGTGGAACATTCGGCGGACTTTGTTGAACGCCGCCAAATCGTACATTCTACGCCCTGGAAGCCCGACGTTAGAAACCATTCGCGCTCTTTTGCAAGATTCCATGATTCAGAGTCATACTTCGGACGATGCCCTTGGGGGTTACCTTGCCAAGCTTCGTGAAAACGCGCTCCCGACAGAGGACGAGCTTAAAGCTTGGGCCCCTCCACCCAGCGAAGAGGAGAAGCTCCGTACTCGAGAGACCGCGCGCAACCTTTTTGTGCAGCGAGGCATCCCACAGGCTCTGACAAGTGTGATGGGGGCGGCTGCTAGCCGGGAAGCGCTGGAGAAGATTTTCGATAGTCTTCAAGTGGAAACGGTTGCTCGGGGATTTGTCTTTTCAGTCTTGCTCCAGGGTCTCAGAGTGTTGGCTCTTTGAAATGCAACAGACCATGTCTTCATCGACAGTATGATCCCAAATCTCTCCAGGGCTCTCGGGTCCAATTAAGCATCCTTGTGCCCCAGGTAGAAGCTGGTTTTAGGCGTCCCATGCTTTTACCTGAAATGATGGGCATCTCGCATCTAGCCAACAGTCAATATGCGGTCTGTTCTGACACGTTCCATTTTAAGTTGCGTTCTTTCTCCCGTGCCCTCTCGCACGAGGCCCCAAGGCCTTATACGCCCATACGGCATCCCGGATGAGAATACGAACTACCAACTTTTCCTGGACTTGAAAAGGTCAATCCGAAATTTGATTACTATGACATTGCAGTGGCATATCTGAGCCTTTTCACTCTCCACCCTCGTCCTCATCACTTGTTGCGTCGATGTTTTGTTTTGTTGGGCTTTGGTTACCCGATTGCTGCTCGTCATGACCAGTTGGGCTCTCTCCCGAATAGTGTGGCCGTGGCAGACTTTCTCCATTTTCCTTCAGCGTCTGTTCGATCTCGGGAAGCAGGGAAACCAAGGCTGAGAATTGGTCTATTGGCATGGATATGCCCTATGCATGGTGAGCCTAGGTTACATGCCACGCCGCCAGTCACTCACTTTCTTGCCCGGCAGCTGCTGTCCATCCTTTTCATAATACTCGCGGACATTCACCTGGGTTTTGCCACGGAATGAGGAAATGGTCACCCGGCGCATCTTGGAGAGTTCCCAGTAGCGATCTCCATTTGAGTCGGTCTGGCCAGTGGTGATTTTGGTTTTCTTGCTCCCAGGTCCGGTGTCCTCGGAGGCACGCCTTTTGGAAGACATTTTGGACTTCGAGGGGTGTGTAGGTGTGTGGGTAGGGAAGTTGATAGACAAGGGTCAGAGACGCGACAGTGACGCGTGAGCACGTGATGGACTCAACTACCTAGGTAGGAATAGCAGGATTTGATCAACTTCCCAGTCAATTCGAAAGCAAATGTGTGCATAGCATATATGTGGAGACTACCTTAGTATGGATGCTTACATGCGAGCCTCTTGCGTGGCCAGGCTATGCGCAATGGAACCTTCCCCCCCCCCCTCCAGCCGTGACGATGGTCCTGCTGGAAACGAAGCTGACTACGATCCCCGGGCTGACCCCATCCTCCACCGCCGGGGGTACGGACGATGATCCGTTCATCTGCTTGCATCTGAGCGGAGTTCTTCGCGCCCAGGTTGGTGTAACGGTCCGTCCACCTCCCATCGGGACTGAGCACGCGGCGGACCCAGATGTTTTGACCGCACTGTGCATCCTCGCCTCCCTCCAGTCCATAGGGATGATAAACTCTGCGTTCTGAGAGGATAGAGACTTGGACTGGGGTGCGGAACTCGATGTCTCGGATAACACCATCTCCGCCGCGATGCTGACCATTACCTCCCGAGTTCGGTCGAAGACTGAACTCTCGTAGTATGACCGGATATCGCCGCTCGAAGACTTCTACATCGGTGATTCGAGTGTTGGTCATGTGCGTGTGCACGCCCGAAGTGCCTTCCCAGGATGGGCCAGCACCGCTCCCTCCAGCGATAGTTTCATAGTATCCAAATCCCTTGGTTTCTGTCTCACCCGGCATATTCCCCCCAAACCCGAATGTGAGGTTGTTAGTATCACCCTGAGACGCAGCACAGGCCTGGAAGCACCTCAGAATGACATCGGTCACTCTTTGGCTTGTGAGAACATTGCCACCCACCACAGCAGCGGATCTGATGGAGAAAGCAGACTTCCGCGTGGAATGCGAACGTCAATTGGCCTTAAGCAGCCTTGATTGAGAGGGATATCGGCCGAGGCCAGGCACCGGATACAATAAATGACTGCCGAGTAAGTAAACGCTTCGGGCGTCTTAATGTTTCCTATGCCCGTTAGCCAATTCCACTGTTGCGCCGGACTGGATATTGATACCATATACTTCCGGCCCACTCCTCAATCAGAGTCCCGATCAACTTGATGCCTTTCTTGTTTGCTGCAATCTGGGCCTTCAGGTCGCTCAAATTGTCCGCGAGACAACGGGTTCCGCTGCAGTTTGGATATTGGGCTGGCTCGGTGTACAACAGAGCTGCCATCCGTTCCTCGTTGAATCTCCCCTCCGACACCAGTTTCTCGCTTATGATGGCCGCGCCTTCTTGGTATAGCTCTTTTGAGTGTGGTGGCATCGACCCCGGGAGTATCCCTCCAATGTCGGCTGCATGTGGGGGGTCAGAATATCTGCACTGGTCGGCGTATCTCAACTTGAGGCAGCTTACCATGATGGGCCCCAGAGGCGACATAGAAGATAATGTTCCCCTCGCTGAACGCAGGCTGGATGACCGTAATGTCTGGGAGATGAGTGCCGCCGAATTCCGGATGATTCGAGACAATCACATCCCCCGGCTTGAGATTGTCCCTCCAGATATGAGATTGGATTCGAACGCAGCTCGACATGCTCCCGAGGTGGACTGGCAAATGTGGCGCGTTGGCAACTAGGCCGCCCTCCGTATCGAACAATGCACATGAATAGTCCAGTCGTTCCTTGACATTGGTACTCACGCTTGTCTTCTGCAAAGCACGACCCATCTGCTCAGCGATTGCCATGAATATATGCGAGAAGACACTCAGCAGGATTGGATCCGCTTCTTTGGTGCTCAATGCTCAACTTGAGATGGCCAGTCGAATCACCAATATTGATGACAACATGAGTCTTGGTCAATAATGCCGAAGCCCCGGGGGTCACCACAATGGTCTGTGTATCATCCGCCAGGATCGCTGGGCCTCTCACACGCTCGTCGACGCTTAAATCGCAGAGTCTGTATATTGGCGTGTCCTGTCTGCCACCCTCGAAATAAACCCGATCCCTGCGTTGCTCTCGACCCATTTCCACATCGCGGGAGTGAGACTCACGAAGCCGCTGGTCGATGGTCTTCCCGGATACCTTGAACCCTTTGCCGATTCCTCGGACCCGGATGTCATCTACAATCAGGTCTCGACCAGGGAGAGTAAAGCCAAATTCGTGCTCATGCTGCCTCTCGAAAGCCTTCCCAAAGGCCCACCCGTCCCCTCCAAAGTGACGGTCTGCATATTCCTCAGTGGGCTTCGGTATCATCAGAGCTGATTCAGTCCCTCGATAGCGCATGTTGAGATATTCTTCAAATACGATGGAATCATCCTGGAAGCCTTGCTCTCGCAACCTCTGTAGGGATCGATTCTTGAGCTCTTCCATTCTTGATGCAAGTATCTTCTGAACACCCTTGTACTCGGCGGTCCATGTCCTCGACTCGGGTGCTTGGCTTTCATCAACAACATCTGCCAGCGCCATGCCATAAGCCGAAAGGACCGAGGAATAGCGATGGATTAGGATTTGCCGAATGCCCAATCTTTCGGCAATCGCAACGGCGTGCTGACCTCCAGCGCCTCCGAATGGAGCCAGTCTATGCTTGGCGGTATCATGGCCCTTGGCTTCTGTCAATGAACGGATTGGGCGGGTCATTGTCTCATTGGCTACTTTGATAAAGCCAAATGCAACCACATCTGGGGTCATCGCTCGACTTCGCCCCTTCTGTGCTAATCCAGCGTTGATTTCCTTGGTGAGTTCCTCAAAGCGAGTCCTGCTCGCATGCTCATCCAGTCCTTGCCTTTCATCTCGGCCAAATATCCTCGGGAAGAAGTCTGGGATCAGCCGTCCGAGAAACAGATTGGCATTGGTTACTGTCAACGGACCTCCTTTGCGATAGCAAGCTGGTCCAGGGAGTGCACCGGTGGACTCTGGGCCAACAACAAAGAGCCCATGGCGAAAAAATAATTGTGATCCGCCTCCCGCTGCCACGGTGTTTATATCCAACTGAGGAGACTGTATTATGACTCCGGCCGTGGTTGTTTCAAATACATGCTCATATCGACCAGAGCCGTACCTGCTGACATCCGTGCTCGTCCCCCCCCCCTTATCAAAGCCAATGACAGGGATTTCGGAGACAAGGTCATACGAAGTTAATGCATAGCCAACCACGCCACCGGCCGGGCCTGATAGAATTGCTCGTAGACCAGAGAACTGATCTACATCCACCAGGCCACCATCTGATTGCATGAACTCACAGCGTGCCCCCTTCGCGCCTGTCTGTCGCTTACACTTTCATTGCCCAACACGCCTTTGAAGCCAGCCTGAAACCCAGAGATATATTTCTTGATGGCGGGTGTCAGATAGGCATCGGCGCAGGCTGAAGTGGCTCGCGGCACTAATTTGATCATAGGCATGAGTTGGTGACTCAAGCTGACATGGTGAAACCCAATGTCAGTGGCAATCCGTCCCACCAAGGCCTCATGGTCAGGAAAAGCGTAGCCGTGTATCAGGCATACGGCTATACTTCTCAACCCACGGTCATATACCTCCTGCAGCTGAGATCGCACTTTGCTTTCAGAGGGACGCCTGAGGATACGGATGGCCTCCGAAGAAAGGCCGCGGACGAGATCGGCCGCCACTGGGCTTTGTTCACGAGAAAATGTGGTCGTCAAGTTTCTTCCTGGGTCCTCCGCATAATCCTCCAAGGTGACACGTTCATCGACTTCCACCACCTCCTCATAGAGCACATCCGAGCGTTGGATGGCAAGGTCAAAAATCCGGGGGCGAGATTGGTTTCCAATACGTAGACAGTCTTTGAACCCTTTGCTTGCGACAAGTGCGATCTTCTCCCCTTTGCGCTCTAAAAGGGCATTCGTTGCTACCGTCGTGCCCATGCGAATGCTTTCAATCAGTGAGGTGTCAATCGGTTCTCCACGAGGGATTTCACGGCCTGTGAATCTGGACAGGATACGACGGATTCCCTCCAGCGGTGCATCTTCATAATTGGTCGGATCTTCCGATAGCAGCTTAATCACAATGTCATCTTCCAGACAACCTGACCCGGGATTGCCTATGCAGTCCGTGAAAGTGCCACCTCTCTGAGACCAAATTAGTATAGGCTATCGCCATGGAGCGAGCGTAATACATCAATTGCGATACCTAGGTACTGATCCCTTTTGATTGTGCCATATTCGGACCAGGGGAGACAGGGAGAGAGAAAGAGAGAAGTACAGTAGAAAGAGGCAGCACTTGAGGGAGAGATCCCCCGGGTTTACGTCATAAGTGAAGCAGAGTGGATATGGATTGCGCGATGCACCTCTGTGACTACCTACATGTAAGGAGACTACAGCAAAATAACTACTTTGCATTCCTCCGTCCTGGTCGATCGGACATGGCGACAGATAACCGTTTCCAAGTTCAATTTCGAAGGGGCGAGACGGAAGTGATCGTATTCGGGATCGCTCGGCGTTCGCTTCGGTATCCGAGCTGCTGACCAGGATAAATTACCAGCACGAAAAAAAGGGAAGAACTGGGGGATCAAAGCGAAAAGCAAAAGCATAAAGCAAAGTGGGGGACACACTCCCTCCCCCTGCTTCAGAGTAGTCTTCGAGTATTGGGGGTCAACAGATGCAGAGAGGGGACATGTGCCACATGCGGATCGTCATTGAGCCTTCCCTTTTTTTTTCTCCGGCAAAATCACGATGACACCATAAGACGGGAAGACGAGGGCGAAGTAGGGCAGGAATGAGAAAATAGGATGCCGAGTTGTCTACTCAGCGGTATCGAGTTCATCATGGGCAGAGGGCATTGGGTCCAGGGGTACTATCTCTGATCAGCAAAATTCGGCAGTCTACAGGCCGATGGAACCCCCTACCTTTCCTGTCGTCACCGTTGGGAGCGTTGTCACGGTCATCTTCGCGGCGCTCGCGGTCATCTTCGCGCCTTTCCCGGTCATCCTTGCCATCGCGTTCGCGGTCATCGGGGCTTCGGGAACGGTCGCGGGAGCGGTCGCGATCACGGCGATCGTGGTCACGGTCACGGCGGTCGGAGTCCCGGTCACGGCGGTCGTAGTCGCGGTCGGCGCGGTCATCCCGTTCGTAACGATCGTCTCGGCGAGGAGAATAGTCACCACCACGGCTGCGGCGGGGGGAGGGCGAACGACCACGGCGCGGAGGAGTGCGATCACGGCGACGATCACGGCCAGAGTCGCGGCCAGAATCGCGGCCGGAATCACGACCAGAGCCCGAATCGAATCGCCAAGAAGCGGAAGGGGGTGTGCGTGCCCACTTGAAAAAATATGAGAATACTAAAACGGTAGAACGGAACAAATGGTTGCCTACCTCAATCTTCAGCAAATCGTCACGGCCGATACGTTTGTTGTGCATCTCGTGGTAGGCATCATCGGCATCACGGCGGCTCTCATATTCTACAAAGGCGAATCTGGCTCTCAGCGTCAGTTAAGTTCCGGGTATTTCGATTATCGATCAGATCGACTTACAGCCGGCTGGAGGGTGTCCGAGGGGCAGGGATGTCACAGCGGACTAGACGGCCATATCTAATTCAAATTGTCAGTTTGTGCTAGCTTGAAATCACCAGTTGAGAGAGAGAGGTAGGATCAGAGGTGTTGAGAGAAAGATATAGGAGTAAGAGAGAAAGAGAGATTATGACGACAGGCCAAGACTAGCAGTCGATGAGATGCGACAAAAGCTTCAATGCGAATGTCATGCTAATTTGGTATAGAAGAAAAAGCCATGCGATTCACTGCCAGTGGACTCGGTTCGTCGTCGGGATGGGCATCGGAGGTCGTAGCGAAGGTATAGGCGACACGTACCGTTCGAATTCGTAGGCAAGATCGCGAGCCCGGGTTCCGTGACCAAACCCGGTGACATAAAGGGTGGTACCCGAGCGAGATGACATGGTGCCAAGACTAATGAACAGATGGAAGATGGAAGATGGAAAAGTTGGAGCTTCAGAAGCTTCAAAAGGATAAGAGCAGAGAAAGACGAAAGAATTAGGTGATGAAGGGTCTACGGTGGTCGCGGGACACCACTAATGCAAATGACGACAGTGCTCGGTTTGGTGATACCAACCCAATACCCCCAGGATATGGAGCCTGGTTAAGACATGGAGGTTATTTATGTATTCACTGGTATTCATTGGTACTCACCTAGAAAAAGGTTCGTGTACTTGTGAAATCAACAGGACACTATTCATAAATAATCATTCGTATGCTATAATCTATTTCCAGTGTCAAAGGGAGGTGTAGAGCTGAGAAGCACGCATTTGATACAGACGTAACCGTAAGTGGCGGACCCCATCGGGAGGTACCGTGTCTGTCGGCAAGTCGGATGTTCTCGATCGCAACCTTACCTCGACAACCACATCCAGTGTCAGTCACTTGCTTGCAATCATTCTTGACTATACCGTGGGCTCTCCTTGGCGTGCTCTAGTTTTTTGATTCCGAAAAGACACGACACGTGTTTCAATCCGACAGACCCTTTATCCGCTGGGCCTTCCTCCGCCTTCGAGGTCCTGTCGATATTTGCTTCCCCCCTGATTTATAGGACCACAACGAGCGATCATTCCTAGGTTCGAGATCAATGATGTGCATTTAGGTTATCAAGCCTCGCGAAGACGGCCAACCTTCATGGCTAGTGTTGTAACGATCCGAAACAAACTTCTGATGCTTTCCCCGACATATCAGACTACCAAATATACCTGATCAAAGGGTACACCTGCTTTACAGCGCTTCCGTGCCTCTCCTCTGCAACCCAGGTTTGTGGAAGAAATACCATATCACAGCGCACTGGAGTTATTTCTTGTCATAAGTTGCGAATCCTGATGCGCAAGCCCTCATCATGAGCTTGGATCGCCAGAACACTGCTCGTAAAGACGAGCTGGAGGGTGCCGCAAACCCCAGCTTGCAAAAGCTGCCTCACGTGTCCCCTCCCACCGTCAAGGTGAGCCGCCCACCGATTCTTGGGGTGAGAGCTCCGTTCTAATCATCTCGATGGATCAGGAAACCGCCGCCAGCTCACCACCCACAATCTGGAGTCGAACAAGGAATAATCTTTCTGAGCCCGTAGTGGCTGCATTCATGGCCGGTGGTGTAGCGGGCGCTGTCTCTAGGACCATAGTCTCCCCATTGGAACGATTGAAGATTCTTCTCCAGGTCCAAAGCGTGGGTCGAACTGAGTATAAAATGTCAACTTGGAAGGCGTTGGTAAAGATGGGCCGAGAGGAAGGCTGGCGCGGGTTTATGCGAGGAAACGGGACGAATTGCATTCGCATCATTCCATACTCCGCCGTACAGTTTGGAAGTTACAACTTCTACAAGCAGGTATTTAACCCACCTCTTCTTGAGTGCCAGTCTCACTGACTCCATTCCCCAGTTTGCGGAATCCCCTGATGGCGATATGAGTCCAATGCGGCGCCTAGTCTGCGGAGGTGCAGCAGGTATCACCTCAGTGACAATAACCTATCCGTTGGATATTGTTCGAACTCGGCTGTCGATCCAATCAGCCTCATTCGCCGACCTGGGAGCAAGAGATCCGACCCAACGGTTACCGGGAATGTTCACCACGATGGTCATGATATATAAGAAAGAGGGTGGGATCAGAGCCTTGTACCGAGGGATCGCGCCCACCGTGGCAGGAGTGGCTCCCTACGTGAGTTTCCAGGTCCCTCTCTCAGCCCAATCTGATCTAAACGGTGACAGGTGGGACTTAATTTCATGACCTACGAATCAGTGCGCAAGTATCTGACTCCGGACGGAGACAAGAACCCTAGCTCCTACCGAAAATTACTGGCTGGTGCCATCTCGGGAGCAGTAGCTCAAACATGCACATATCCATTGTTGGTTCTTCATTTCTTCATTTCCCCCTTCTTGTCCCATGTATCCCGATCTGATTACATGGAGTCTCATAGAACTGACATTCCTTTAGTGATGTACTGCGTCGCCGCTTCCAGATCAACACCATGTCCGGAATGGGCTACCAATACAGCTCGATCTGGGATGCCGTTAAAGTAATTGTGGCCGAGGAAGGGATGCGTGGTCTTTTCAAAGGAATTGGCCCCAATCTGCTCAAGGTTGCTCCGAGCATGGCCAGCAGCTGGTTGAGCTTTGAGATGACTCGTGATTTCTTGGTCAGCATGAGCGATAGAGAATAGTTCACTATACCTAGAGTACACCTTGTTTCTATCGAAATGATTTGTTCTTTAGGGAGAAATCCATCAATTCCTGAGTTGGTATGGCATCAGCGTGATGTATGATGGTGGGATTGTACAAGATACGTCTATGTCTGTAGCGGTCAATTAGCTAGCGCATAGGTATGTAGGTATGCAGGTTGACGGCGCCGCCGGGGCTAGATTCGAGGCAGAAAATAGGCACGTGACATGGGCGGTCGCCACATGGGCGCCGCCTTTAGTCATGTCCTCGCTATTCCGAATACATCTTAGTGTTAGGGCTCAACCCCACACCATCTGTCCAGGCGAAACTCAAGGATCAAAAATCTCCTGCCCTTACTCAGTGCGACAGCAAGCTATTTCCCAGGTAGTCGATCTCAATACACAGCCATGGGTACGTTCAATCATCCTCTTTCGCTGTCATTGGCACTATCTACTCCAACACATCGCTTGTTTTCGAATGCCCAATCCAGTCCACTGACATTTCGAAACTTGCAGGTATCGACCTGGACCGCCACCATGTGCGGAGCACCCACCGCAAGGCTCCCAAGAGCGACAACGTGTACCTTCAGGTTCTGGTGAAGCTGTACCGCTTCTTGGCTCGTATGACTCCCCAGCGAATGCCCGAATCTGAGTCGCAGCGCAATCCACCAAGCGCACTTCGATGGCAAGGATTTTCGTGAAAATTTCCATGAGGCTGATTTCGGATGCACAATAGGCCGTACCGAGTCCAACTTCAACAAGGCCGTTCTCCGCCGCCTGTTCATGTCCAGAATCAACCGCCCCCCGGTTTCCCTGTCCCGCGCTGTTTCCAACGTTGGTGAGACCCACAAGGGCAAGACCGTTGTTGTGATCGGTACCGTCACCGACGACAACCGCCTTCTGAACGTCCCCAAGCTGTCGATCGCCGCTCTCCGTTTCACCGCTACCGCTCGCGCCCGCATTGAGAAGGCTGGTGGTGAGACTCTGACTCTGGACCAGCTTGCTCTCCGCGCCCCTACCGGTGCTAACACTCTTCTCCTCCGTGGCCCCAAGAATGCTCGTGAGGCTGTGAAGCACTTCGGCTTCGGTCCCCACACCGACAAGGTTCGTTTCTACAGCTGGACCACAGGGCCTTTGGATTCGCATTTGCTAACTCATAACAGAAGCCCTACGTTGGCAGCAAGGGCCGCAAGTTCGAGCGTGCTCGTGGTCGCAGACGCTCCAAGGGCTTCAAGGTCTAAGGGATCTGGGGAGGACGATCCAGTGTGTCTATGTCATGGAACGTGCACTAGTCACATTGGTTTGGTGCCTGGAATCATTCCAAATCTAGCCAGCGATCTCAAGTCTGTAACTAGAGAGGCGGAGGGTCTTTGGTTGGACGCGGAAATGAGAATTTTACGAATAAAGGGGCAAAAAATTGAATCAGGCTTTGTCCTAAGTTTTTTATTATGATTTGATTATCACAACGAAGAAAGCAAGGAAAGGAGGAGAAAAGAAGAAACCCATCCATGGATGTCTCAAAGAATCTATCTGCACACGGTCTCGGGGTGTATACTTAGACGCTCGTGGGGAGGTTTGTATGGAGGTAGGCGCGTCCGCCTTTTCCGTAGTCCGCTGCGCGATGCCCATTTCCCCGGATCAGGTATTTATAGATCGTCAGTCCCTCCAGTCCGACGGGTCCACGCGAATGGATCTTGTTTGTGCTGATGCCAACCTCGGTGCCAAACCCAAAACGCATACCATCGGCGAACCTCGTTGATGCGTTCCAAAAAACGCCCGCACTGTCGATACCACTAGTGAAGATATTCGCTGCTTCCTCCGACTGAGTCAGAATGATGTCCGTGTGCTTTGATGAATGCAGATTGATGTGGTCCATGGCAATCTGCAGGGCTGCGGTCTGGGAATTGCAGGCAGGGATTGTTTTGACTGCCAACTCCAGTCCCAAAAATTCTGTTTCATAGTCGGAAGCGATGGCCGTTTTTATGAGAGACGACGTCTCGTCAAGCATGGGCTTCGGCAAAAATTCGGTCAAGGCATTCTTTGAGATGTCATCACATCGCAACGTGACACCTTTCGCTAACAAAGCCGCCGCCACATTCGGGAAGATCGAGTCGAGAGTATCCGCGTGGACAAGCAAAGACTCCAACGAGTTGCATGCCGCGGGGTAGTCCGTTTTCGAGTCCACGATGACCTTCACGGCCGTTTCGACGTCGGCGTCGGCATGAATATAGGCTGAGCACAAGCCATCGGCATGTCCCAGCACAGGAATCTTCGTGTTCTCCTTAACAAACCGCACGAGCTCGTTAGAGCCCCGAGGAATGACCAAGTCGATCAATTTATCCTGAGCTAGCAGAGCAGAAACGGCATCGCGTGTCTGGACTAGCTGAATTGAAGATTCCGGTACCACCTTGGTATCCCTGATTGCAGCAGAGACAATAGTTGCAATGGCCTTAAAGGATTCCGTAGACTCCTTCCCACCTAGCCATAACAGTGTGTCAATAACAATGGATGGCGGGGGACGCCCTAGATATGGCGCACTTACCTTTCAGAATAGCAGCATTGCCGGACTTGATAGCCAGCGCGGCAATGTTTGCGATCACTTCTGGTCGGGCCTCGAAAATGATCAAAAGGACGCCGATTGGGCAACTGACTCTTTCGAGTGTCAGGCCATCGTCAAGGAGGGTTCGTAGGGACACTTTTCCAACTGCAATTCATCATGTCAATATCGCATGGAGCTCACCGGGAAGGATACACTGACTTGGGTCATCTAGATCTCGCACGCTTAGGATTCCACGGAGCATGTCATTATATTTTTCACCATGCGAGAGATCCAGTCTTTTGATCACACTGTCGCTCAGACCACTTCCCGCAGCTGCACCTTGGGCGGCAATTTCCCTGTCTCTAGCATTGGCCTCCAGAATAAATTGTCGGTTTTCCTTGTTTGCTAGAGCTTCGTGAAGAACCGTCAAGGCGTTACTGCGGTCTGCGTTAGACAATGTTGCGAGGCGACGAGACGCGAGTGACGCATCTTGAGCGACCGCATCAGCTGGCAAATCAGTCAAGGCCATGATGGTCAAGTTTGAGAGGGAAAGGGGGGAGAGACAACGGGGAAAAAGGGAAGAAGGTGAAGGTGGGCAAAATGAGTCAAGGTGCGGAGGGGCTTATCTCATATCGTTTTTATCATTCTAAGATTCGACGTCACCGGTCTTCCTCTTCAATTTCTCCCTTTTACCTTCTCTTTCTTCCTTCCATCCTCCCCTGCTACACGAGGCCAGATATTGCGACCTCGCAGTGCCTGTACCACAGGCAGTCCACTCCGACAGCATGGCTCTTATCTCGGATTTGCTGTCCGCCTCGGCGCATTTACAAACCTCTATGCCTAGCGACGAGTACGAACGTCGGATTCGAGAACTCGTGGATTACTGCAAACGACTATCGTCTACCAAGACTCTTGACACTTCGATTCATGAGGAATCATTTCTCGATGTAAGGGTGGGACCAAGTGGCTTGATTCAAGCCGAATGTCAATATCGGGAGGAGCGGACTAATGTGCCATCTTTCATAGTATCTCGACCCGTCGAACGATTCAATCGCATATCTCTTCGTGCTTGGTGTGCAGGTTCAAAGGGCACAGGAGCTCAGCGGCAACAACTGCCCAGCGGATATCCGCCCAGGGGGGAAACTGTGGGCGCGCACTGCCCAGTTCCTAACGAGATTCGACCGCATCCAAGTTAGGCACAATGGAAAAGAATGGCGACAGCTCCTCGAGATTGTCGCGCAGGCTTCACAGGCAGCATCAAAGGCAAGTCCGCTATGATCAGCTGGGTGTTCAATTACTTACTTTGCCGTAGCCACTTCTGGGTGCTAAAATGATTCGAGACGCAGTGTTACGACTAGATCCATCCGCTGCTGTTCTGATGTCAACTCATCTTCTGCTTGTGAAGCTCTGTCTCCAGGCCAAGGCATATTCCTACGCACTTCCCGTACTGAACAAGCATGTCTATCATTTTCCGACTTTACCCGAATGGTCTCATTCAGAAGCATCTATGGCTTGTGCGGAGGATGCTTCAAGTCGGTCCTTCGTGACAGGGATATCCGGATTTTCGTCCAAGCTTACCTGCCAGGATTACCTGCGGTACTTTCTCTACGGTGGTATGATTTTTATGGCACTCAAGAAATGGCACAATGCGCTTCACTTCCTTGGGACCGTTGTCTCTATGCCTACAGCCAACTCTGTGAGCTTGATCATGGTGGAAGCCTATAAGAAATGGGTACTGGTTGGGCTGCTTGAAAAGGGCAAGGTTAGTGACATCCCGCCGACGGAAGCGAAGACATCGAGCGGAGCATATACCCTCGCGTGGAACCAGTGGGTGCAATAAAGGTCTCAATAGACTAATTTCTGCTTCTACTAGCTTTGCTCCCCACCAAATATCACCGCGACCCACGTCGTGAGGATTTATCAATCCCTTGCGAGGCCATACGTTTCCCTTGCTCAGACTTTTGAGCGTGGCGATCTGGCCCGGCTCAAGAGCGAAGTCAATGCTGCGAAGGATATCTGGTGCAAGGTAAGCCTCTGTGGAAGTGAGATCTGTTGTGTTGGTGAGCTCGGAGGCTAATGCCATTGACCAGGACAACAACTTTGGTCTTGTTTCTCAGGTTGTTGATGTATTTTTCAGTCGTAGCGTCATCAAGCTTGGAAGGACATTTGCTGCTTTGACAGTGGCCGACCTTGTCAAGCAGGCGTTGTCCTCCCCTGTGGAGGGATCGGTGGCGGAATCCGCCGTATCTTCGCTCGTCATGGCCGGCGCATTGGATGCCTCATTGGCGGAGACAAAAGATCCCGATGGACTATCCATCCTTCGTTTCACGGGCGATTCTTCGTTCCCTCGGCTTCCACATGAGCTCGACGTACAATCTCAACTGAAAGGAGAGCAACAGTTGATGGAGCACTTGGTGGGCAATCTTGAGGAAATCAATACTGCCCTGGGGATGAGCGATGAGTGTCTCGATGGTCTTCAAAGAGGTCAGGCATGGGCTGCCTCTGGCGGTGTCAATTCAGCGGCGCCTGGGGAGACGGGCACTCTTGAAATGGATGAAGACCTGATGGGTGATATGTCCTAACATGGAGCTTTGCCCCCTTGGGTCTCTGAGAATGGAGAATCAAATAGCGGCTAAAGGCGAAAAAACACTAGCGTCAATACCCTTAGTCAAAACCTAATACCCTTAGTCGGCCTTAAATTATACTCTAACTCTATATTATACTAAGGATTAAATTAAAATAAATATAACAATAGATTATAATAGAATTAATATTAATCTAATTTAAAAATAAACTTTGTATATTATAACTAGAGAAAAATAGATTATTATATAAAATATTATAAAATAAAGAGAATAAAGTAAACTATAAAGAAGAATAAAAACTAAATTTAACCTAATAGCTGTGATATCTACCAGATCCTCATAAGTGTCGCATACTAGATGAGTTATATATTACAAGGTTATATAATAGGTTATATATCGGGTTATATGTCTTTGGTTAGCTAATCTTAGCAGTTATGTAATATATATTATATAACTAACGGTAAATGAAGAGATAGATAAAAAGCCTTAGATTGAATCCTATAACTTAGAGGGAAAAAAGTAGCTCTTATCTAGATCTCTCTTTCTTTTTTTTGTTTCCTTAAATTTAGTATTCTAAATTAATATATCTTTCTTTTTTTAAAAAGAAGTTAGTTTATAATATAATACTAAACTTTACTATATACTTTTTTTAGAGTAATATTATATAGATCTTTATTATAATTAGCTTTAGTCTATTTCTATACTTTATACTAAATAATCTTAAACTAAAGATCTACTAATCTAATAAATTAAGATAATTCTTATTAATCTATCTAAAAAATAAAAGATCTATAACTATACCGAAAAAGAAGAATACTTTAATATTTCTAATATTCTTATTAATAGTATTACTAATAGAGAAGATACTAAAACTAAAAACTTTAAATCTTAACTTTACTCTAAGTTTATTTTTTAATAGTTAAATTTAATTACTATATATTAAATATATATAAAGATTAATATAAAGAAATAATATAAAGCTTTTATTGCTATTTATAAAAAGATAGTAAAATAATAGAGAAACTTTAATAAACTAAATTAAAAATAAAGTACTATAATCTATAATCTTAAAAAAGAAAATTCTGAATTTACTAAAATATTGTTATAGATTTGTACAAACAAACCCTTTAGAGTTATGCTTATGTAAGAAGTCCTGACTTCATACAATATCAGAACGAAGCATTGGCGATACACCAGCGATTTGTATATGAATCCCTAACTCCGCAGGAGCAGGAGGTTTAAACCAAGGACATAGATACAATATAGAAGGTCCTATAACAGGTTGAACCTAATAAATCATCACATATCCACATAACCTAGGAACACTTTATTCCCACAGATCCTGCCAAATAGCTTCTTTTCTTTAAGATTATTAAAGACAGTATATTGGCCTAGTTCAATTACATTAATTTAGCTACAGCCCTTTATATTCAATAATCTTCTATATAAATTATTAATTATCTAAATAAACCCTATCAGGAGCAACGAGATTCATCTCTGAATCTACCCTAGTTTTGTATAACTCACCTCTGAGTCCCCTAAACTAACAAAGATGACTGTCTCAGAATATATACAGATAGTAAATCAGATTAATTAAATAACCTAATAAAGAATAGTACTTTAGAATATATCTAGGTTATTATAAATGAATTGTTACTATGTAAATTTAACAATAAACCACTATAGAAAATATATTAGTAACAAAGATTAGATTATATTAAATCTAATAATAATAAAGAATAGATTACACTAGACTTAATATTAATAATAAAGAAAATACCTTCTTAGATATTTTAATAGAGTACTAAAAATAATAAAAAGCTCTAATATAGATCTAATAAATAATATAATAGCTAACTTAGTCCTAGTAAAAAGCTATTAAGTATATAGTAATATAGACTAACAATATTTATTAATTAGAAAAAATTCTAATATAGTATACTATTTAACTAATAATAAAGAAAGTCCTATAAATAGTAATCCTAATAATAAAAAAAAAGAGAGTATAAAGTTTAATAATAAAATAATAGTGTTAGGGTTCTGTCCCTAAAAGGATTCAGGTATACTATGAATAAGTAGGTTTTAATAAAGAATAGTAAACTAGCTATTAAGGTACAAAATAAATACAGAATCCATACAGCTAATAATAGCTGATAGAATATATAGGTAAAGCTAAATATAACTCGAAAGAATTTATTTGTATAAAACTATAATATTACTTCCCTTCTCTATTCTGTAGAAGTGTATCTCTATCTAAAACTCTATTATTACCTTAATATAAAGCTATAATTTCTATCTAATACTAAAGTACTACTATATCTTATAGAAAAATTTTAATTCTATTATTAGTTATATATAGTCTTTCTACTTTACTTAGTATTTTATATAGATTCTATTCTATAGTCTAATCTTTTATTTATCTAAAATATATTTTACTTTATACTCTTTTTCTCTATTAACTATAATCGCTAAAGATTAAGGATTATATTATTATTTTAAAAATAGTAAATTAATACTTATAGGGTATATTAAATTTATATAGAATACTAAATAGATACCTAATAATATATTTAACTATATAGTATATATACTTATTATATTTAGTATATAATAATAGATATTCTTCTAATCTAATTTCTAGTAGGATTATTTAGTCTTTATATTCTCTAAACTTAACTATATATTATCTCTTTTATAATAAATAATAATAGATTCTTAGTAGTGATTTATATATAATTTAGTCTATTAGTTTATATATATTATAGAAGTCTTAATCTAATCTATAGCTATAACTAATTATCTTATAATATATTTAGTTATTTAAATCAGACTTTAGGATATTTTATTATTATTATCTAAGAAATTATTAGAGAATAGTAATAAATTGTATTTATATATTAAGAAAAATAAACTAACTCCTATTAATATTATTACTCTTCTATTTATAATTAGTTTAACTATAAATAATAGATAATTCTAATTATTTTATTTATATTATATAAATAACTATAAATATATTTCTATTATATTATTATAATATTTAGTTTATTTATTAGTCTTAAAATAGTGAATAATTAATAGTCTATATATAATCTTATATAGCTAATATATCTAGATCTAAAGAATACTTATAAATTATATTCTTTAATTTAATACTATAAAAGTAAGGAATTTATATTATTGGACTAATAATCAAATAATTATTGAAGCTATCTCTTCTATAGTAATCTCTATAATTCCTTCTAATATCACTCTTTTAGTTAATCAATTTATGATTATTAGGATATTAGTATATCTATCACTTTCTAAAAGATCTATAATAAAGTCAAATATAACATCCTTCTAGCTTTACTTTAATAATAATAATAGCTTTAATAAACCCTTTTTTAATTCTTACTATAGTTTTCTATCATTATAAAGATTATAATTCCTAATAAATTATTATATATCCTTATCTATTTAAGACTAAAAATATTTATAGATTACTATATAATATATCCCTTTATATCTAAAATAGTTAATTACTATTAAGTTATATATTATCTAGATTAAGCTTATATAAAGAGGTGTATTATTTAGGATTTATATTCTCTCTTAGAAATAGATTTATTCTCTATTATCTAAATAACATTTAAAAATTAATACCTTTAATCATAATTCTTTAAAAAACTGTAAAGCTCTATTTTAGAGTATTTATATAATTTCTTAATATTTATTATTATCATCTTTTACTTTTTACTATAGATTAAGGTTAATAATTATAGAAAAAATATTAACTATTAGACTTTACTTTATTATTTTTAACAAATACTTTATCTGGTTTTCAATTTAGAGATCTTCTTTATTTAATTTATTTTAGTCTTTTTAGAATAAAGTATTTACTCTAATATTTATTATTCTAGATTAATAATAGAAAAAAATGAAATTAAATTAATTTAGGAATAATAATTATTAAATATATTACTCTATTAGTTTCTGAGATTAAAAGAAATATTCTAAGTTTTTATAGTTTATAATTATTATAAATACTATATATAAGGAATATAATTCTATATTCTAGGTTTCTAAATATTATATTATTACTAATAGTTTTTTATTATAAATCTTATAGTTATATTCTATTAAGATATTCTTTTTAGAGAAGTATATATATAGTTATAGTTATTTTTTATTATTAAATTAAGAAAGAATCCTATTAGTAGTATATCCTAATGAATTATATTTAATTATATTTATATATACTAGATTAAATATTATAAAGATAGGATTTATAGTAAATAATCGTTTTAGCTCTTAGAAGCTTTTTTTATATTTATGGTTCTAATAGAATAGTCAGTTTTTATATATAACTTAATTAGTAAATATATAACTTCTAAGTAATTATCGATAAATTATTAATAGAAATTAGCGAAATTTAGGAATCCTTATACTTCCCTAACTATAGTTAAGGCTTACTACTCTAAAAAAGTTTTAATCTTTTTAGGATTTATCTAAATCTCTTTTCCTATTTATACTATAAAATCTAGATATTTAGTCTTTATATATTTAAACTTATATTTTTTAATATCTAATTATAGACTCATAATCTATAGCTTTTATAAAACTTTTTATATATATTTTCAGTATAGATTAATATCTTTATTAATATAAATCAATATATTATCAATATATATTAAATAGAAATTATTTAGATATTCTTAAAGTATATTATTAATATATTTTTAGAATATACTAGGTATATTAACTAATCTAAAGGGGATAATTATTTATTTATATAATCTATATCTTATCTAGAAGACTATTTTCTATTTATCTCTCTTTATAATCTTGATTTTATAGAATACTACTAATATATCTAATTTAATAAACTATTTAACCTTTTCTATTTAATTTAATATTTTATATATTAAAGAGAGTAGATAGTGATTTTTTTTTATAAGGATATTTAATATTCAGTAATCAATATAAAATTATAAATTACTATTAGGCTTTTATAT